GTTGAGAGCCTCTATAGTAGGTGGCAGTGCAGTGGCAGTACAGCTAGAGCCAGCATCCAAAGTGCCGACAGTGTCAGCACTTCTGCATGGGAGGCTGCATAGTGAGTGGCAGTGCAGTGGCAGTGAGGTCAGACCTAGCATCCAAAGTGCCGACAGTGTCAGCACTTCTCGTTGAGAGCCTCTATAGTAGGTGGCAGTGCAGTGGCAGTACAGCTAGAGCCAGCATCCAGAGTGCCGACAGTGTCAGCACTTCTGCTTGAAGTTCTTCATAGTAGGTGGCAGTGCAACCCTACCCAACCCTAGCAGTCCTAGTGTTCAGAGTGCCGACACTGTCGGCACTTCTGCTTGAGAGGCTGCATAGTAAGTGGCAGTGCAGTGGCAGTACAGTAAGAGCCAGCATCCAAAGTGCCGACAGTGTCAGCACTTGAGAGGCTTCATATTGGGTGGCAGTGCAACCCTACCCAACCCTAGCAATCCTAGTGTCCAGAGTGCCGACACTGTCGGCACTTCTGCTTGAGAGGCTACATAGTGAGTGGCAGTGCAGTGGCAGTACAGCCAGAGCCAGCATCCAAAGTGCCGACAGTGTCAGCACTTCTCCATGAGAGGCTGCATAGTAAGTGGCAGTGCAGTGGCAGTACAGCTAGAGCCAGCATCCAGAGTGCCGACAGTGTCGGCACTTCTGCTTGAGGTTCTTCATAGTGGGTGGCAGTGCAACCCTATCCAACCCCAGTAATCCTAGTGTCCAGAGTGCCGACAGTGTCGGCACTTCTCATTGAGAGCCTCCATAGTGGGTGGCAGTGCAGTGGCAGTACAGCTAGAGCCAGCATCCAAAGTGCCGACAGTGTCAGCACTTCTCCATGAGAGCCTCTATAGTAGGTGGCAGTGCAGTGGCAGTACAGCTAGAGCCAGCATCCAGAGTGCCGACAGTGTCGGCACTTCTGCTTGAGGTTCTTCATAGTGGGTGGCAGTGCAACCCTACCCAACCCTAGCAATCCTAGTGTTCAGAGTGCTGACACTGTCGGCACTTCTGCATGAGAGGCTGCATAGTAAGTGGCAGTGCAGTGGCAGTGAGGTCAGACCTAGCATCCAAAGTGCCGACAGTGTCAGCACTTCTCCATGAGAGGCTGCATAGTGAGTGGCAGTGCAGTCAGAGCCAGCATCCAAAGTGCCGACAGTGTCAGCACTTCTGCTTGAGGTCTTCATAGTAGGTGGCAGTGCAACCCTACCCAACCCTAGCAATCCTTGTGTTCAGAGTGCCGACACTGTCAGCACTTCTGCATGAGAGGCTGCATAGTAAGTGGCAGTGTGGCAGTACAGTCAGCTAGCATCCAGAGTGCCGACAGTGTCAGCACTTCTCCATGAGAGCCTCCATAGTAGGTGGCAGTGCAGTGGCAGTACAGCTAGAGCCAGCATCCAGAGTGCCGACAGTGTCGGCACTTCTGCTTGAGGTTCTTCATAGTAGGTGGCAGTGCAACCCTATCCAACCCCAGTAATCCTAGTGTCCAGAGTGCCGACAGTGTCAGCACTTCTCATTGAGAGCCTCCATAGTGGGTGGCAGTGCAGTGGCAGTACAGCTAGAGCCAGCATCCAAAGTGCCGACAGTGTCAGCACTTCTGCATGGGAGGCTGCATAGTGAGTGGCAGTGCAGTGGCAGTGAGGTCAGACCTAGCATCCAAAGTGCCGACAGTGTCAGCACTTCTCGTTGAGAGCCTCTATAGTAGGTGGCAGTGCAGTGGCAGTACAGCTAGAGCCAGCATCCAGAGTGCCGACAGTGTCGGCACTTCTGCTTGAAGTTCTTCATAGTAGGTGGCAGTGCAACCCTACCCAACCCTAGCAATCCTAGTGTCCAGAGTGCCGACACTGTCGGCACTTCTGCTTGAGAGGCTACATAGTGAGTGGCAGTGCAGTGGCAGTACAGCCAGAGCCAGCATCCAAAGTGCCGACAGTGTCAGCACTTCTCCATGAGAGGCTGCATACTGAGTGGCAGTGCAGTGGCAGTACAGCCAGAGCCAGCATCCAAAGTGCCGACAGTGTCAGCACTTCTGCATGGGAGGCTGCATAGTGAGTGGCAGTGCAGCAGCAGTGCAGCCAGAGCCAGCATCCAAAGTGCCGACAGTGTCAGCACTTCTCCTTGAGAGCCTCCATAGTAGGTGGCAGTCAGACCCAGCCTCCCAGCCTCCCAGCCTCCCAGCATCCCAGCATCCCAGCACACCAGCACGCCAGCATCCAGTCCCCACTCCAACTCCCAACATCCCAAAGGTCGAGCATCCAAAAAATGGAATCGAGCATCCAAGTCCAAAAAATCACCCTATAAACATTTATATACATTATATAAACTATATATTACTTCTATTTTCGGATTAGCCTTGGTACATGCTTATTAAGCATTGGAAATGCTTATATAAGGATGTTGGGATGTTTCTAACGAAACATCCCACTGTTTCTGTGCACAGACCTCTCCCTAAAGTATAAATACCTTAAGGGCAAAAGGCTGATGAGTCCTCAGACGAAAGCGCTTGTATTCCTTGTGGGATAAGGCACTTCCTTTTGCTCTGTCATTTTCTCATCTGCAACTTCTAAAACACTCGATTTCTAAAACACGCAATTACTACCTTTGCCACCCAACCCAACCCATTCTCCAGGTTGTCAAATTATTATGTTGTCTCAGTTGATGGTTGTGAAGAGAATATTGGGGGATCATGTGACCATCTTGCAGTGAAAGATGGTCTGTGGCTATACAGTCTGGCAATTTCCACTGTCTGTGCACCATCACCTCACTGTCTAGAGCAGTGTCCACACTGTTTCCCACGGTCTCAACACACTTTACATATATGGATAGACCTTGGAAATAGCTTCCTAAATATATAATTTCAGACTCAATTGACTGGTAAATTATTGAGAAAAATGCAAAATACTTTCAGAGACCCAGTGGATATCCAAAAATCAGAGTGCCTAGAAAAATCCAAAAAAATCATATTAGTATTTTTTGATGGATGTAGTCCCATTTTGGTCCCATCTGCATCTCAATAGCTGCCCTGGTTCCTGAGATATTCAGCATTCTTCAAACATGTACTCATGTACCCCCTTTGTACCCCTGGAAATTAAACAGTCAATTAGAATGCCACAAAAATCATATTAGTATTGCTTGATGATAGTAGACCTACTTGGTCCAAGCAGAGATCCCAAGGTAATTGGCACTCTCAAGAACAATGCCCTGATGTTGTCAAGTAAACTGCTGGAGAAAAACCAGGGAGTCCACTCCAAAGAATGCCTTATAACTTGGCACCTGCTGCACCAAATTTCATATGGTTAGCATCATTAGAGAACTACAATTTTACTCTATTTATGTATGCCAAAACATCTGTGGAGTCCATGAGTTGGGGCCATTTAATGACTCCAATATAAATTTTACTTAGGAAAATTCCTCTCTTTGTGAAGAGGGTGCCACAATATAAAGTTGACTTACGAAAATTTCCCTCTCATGACCAGGGTGCCACAATATAAATTTGACTTAGTAAAATTTCCTCCTGGACCGTGGGAATTTTGTAGTATGATTGCTTGGCTGAACATGTCCTCTGAGCTCAAAAGTCAAAGTATAGATAAAATTCCAAAAAAATCATATTAGTGTTTCTTGATGCCTGTAGACCTATTTTGGTTCAATAGTTGTCTTTATTGATGCCCTGGTTCTTGAGATATTTAACATTCTTTCAAATTTTACTTCTTTCCTCAATAACTCACCAACCCCTCAACCAATTCACTTGCTTTTTTTTGCGTTCAGTAGGCCCTAGTAACACCTAAAACATATGCACCATTACCCCTAATTTTTTCAAGTAAACTTCCAAGAAAAGTGAGGGAGTCCATGGGAGTCCAAGGGAGTCCACGCAAAGATCACCTCATAACTTCTCATCCGCTCCACCATTTTCTTAATGATTAGTACCGTTGGAAAGCTGTGATTTTACTCCATATTTAGGTCTCAAAACATCTAGGGAGTCCATGGGTAGAAGGCTATTACCCCTATGGATAATAGATTGACTTCAAACTTCACTTCGAACTTTTTTTAGTTTTCACTTCTTGCCTTGTCTAGTTGTCGTGTTGTCGCATTGTCGCATTGTTGTCTTGTTGTCTTGTTGTCTTCTCAAGTCCTTCTCAACTTCAGTTCTAACCTGTTCTCCCGACTTTCTCACCTTCCACTTTCTTCCTATCAAAATTTTTCCTCTGTGGCTGTGCAAAAAAAGTGCACAGCCACTTCTCTTTTTTTCATTTTATAATTTTCACTAAAATCACACCTTCCTAACCCTATCAACCATTTCAATTTTCATCCATCCAGTCAAAACTTATTCCACTTTTAGTTTCACTTGCACCCTCACTGCACCCGAGTGCACCCTCCAAATTTATTTTCCAAAAAAAATTTATTTAAAAATTCCATTCCATTCTCTCTCCTAAATATATCACTCTGAAAAACACCCCATATTTATATCTATTTTCTTCACTAAGATATTTCACTTTTAATTTCACTTGCACCCTCACTTGCACCCTCTGCACCCTCCTGCACCCTCGAAAAAAAACTTCCCCAAAAAATTCCAAATAAAATATCACCCCATTCTATCTCCTCACTATATTCCATTCCAAAAAACCCCGCATTTTTCCCTATTTTTTTCGTCCACTTGTCAATTTATTTATTCTTTTTTTCCTTCAAATTTTATTTTTCCCATATCTCCTTACCCAGAGCAGCTATTCACATCCTCTTTTTTTCATCTTGTAGATCTCGCCCACAGCTATCTGGAATGCCTATTGCCGCCCATAATTCTCAAAACTGACTGAGAAAACATCGAGGCTTCAGGTCAAGGGTGCAGGGTGCAGAAATGTCCGCGCTTATAACTTTTCAATGGCTGCACCAAATTTCAAATGATTGGTACCGTTAGAAAGGTGTGATTTTTCTCTTTTTTTCAAGCCCGGAAAATCCCGAGGGTGCAGCGGCAATAGCCTATTGCCCCCTCCTTCTATAGAGTGGGGAAGTGTGCTTTTGCTGTGAATGCCTTGGGTGTCAGAGCCTTCACAAGATTCATGCGTGCCAACACAGCGATCACTATTCCTTTGCTCCCTGCACAGCATATCAGTCAGCATTGGTGGTCAGATGAAATAAGCTACAGACATACTGTGCTTGTCACGGAAATTGGAAAACATGGTGTCATTGAGAGCTTGCTCAGCAGTTCGATCTGCTTTCTTGATGCCCTTGCAATGCTCTTTCAGAGTTCTTCGTCCCCACCATGGACTTGATGTGTTAAGGACACCTGAAATGAAGAGTAACCAGAGGTGGAATAAAGGGGGGCGGGCTTTCCAACCAGCTGCACTCTGCCCATGCTCCAAATCCCAACATAGATTGTTGCCATATTCTCGCATATTTGCACCAAGGGAGATTTTCTTGGGAATCTTCTCACTTATCTCCTTGACACGGTGGTTTGGTGCCCAAGCAGTAATGATGAGTGATGCCAGTAATGCAAGCTTGAAACGTGGATTCGAAGCACTGTAAGCACTCTTCAGCCAATTTGTGAGTTCAGCAGTGAATGAATCCTTAAGGTTGTCCTTTGTGATCCAATCAGTGGGGAGTCGAGAACGTTCAAAGACCCAAGTGAGGTCAGACAGCTTTGTATCCATCCATGTCCAAGATGATTGAGGGTTTGCACTTGTCAGCTTGATGCTTGCAAGTCGAGCTGCTTGATAATCTGGGTCATTGGACTCCTCAGCAGCATGGGGTTGAGGACCTCCATCAGGGAAGATGAAATCTGTCCAGGTGTGCCAAACAGCATACTTTGTCTGCCGTTTAGTGACAGGATTCAGAAAAGCTGCAGGATAGCGGCAGAGGTGGGAGACTTCCATTTGTTTGACAATGACGTTGCAGCAAAAATCTTGTTGGGCACCCCAGTCATCATGCTGACCAAGTTGCCGCAATGCTTCAAAAACCCTGCGAAGCACATGCCGGGCACAGCCATCTGGGAAGAATGGTGCCCCAATCTGTGGTATGGTGATCTTCTGGGTTGAGGCAGGGCCTGGCTTTGGAGGTCGTGGAGGTGAAACCATCCGATACAGTACTTTGACCCATGAGAGAACATCAACTGCACAATCCGAGAACATGCCCTTCATGGCATGGGGTGAAGTGCAGAGAACAAGGAGCAACCGTTGGGTGGCAGATTGTGAGTTATCAAAGGGACGATCAACGTGTACCAGTTGCTTTAATTCCTCTAGCTGTCGTGCAAAGCGTCCAAGATCCTCAGCATCAGCAAGTGACTTTGCTCCATCAATGTAACGCTTAACCCCCTTCTCCACTTCATATAAGGCATCCTTCAGCAAAGCATCAACACCATATGCAGCCAGTCCATGGATGATTTTGTCATGTTTGGACATGGGGGTGGAAGCCAAGTCGGAAAATGTGTAGATGCCATCACGAATTTGACGAACAAAGCACTCGGCTACAATAGACTGAAAGTAGTAAGCAGTCAGTGGGCAGAACACATGGGAAGACTTGGAGCATCTGAGAATCTTTCATCATTATGGCATCAACCAGAATGTTCGTGAACATTCTGGTGGACATGCCCCAATTTCATAAACATGATAATGCTATGGGCCTGTCCACCAGAATGTTCGTGAACATTTTGGTGGACATGGTCCATTTCAGCACTGACAACCATTTGTGCAAAGACCCTAGCATCCGAAAAACAAAAGACTACTTACATCAAAAGTTGAAAGTGAGTAGTTGTATACAACCACTCTCTTGGATGCAAAGCGTGGAACACCATCAGCATCACGAGGCCATTTGTCTGCCTCCACAGTAATTGTGTCCCTTGCATCAGGACTCAAATGCACGATCTTGCTGAGAGAAGGAAAGCCTGTTTCCTTGATTCCAAGTGATAGAAGAAGGGGGTCCATCACAAAAGTGCTCAGAACCTTGCCAGCCCCACAGAAACCAAAACTGCCAGCACGTTCAAGGGCAGCAAGAAGTTCCCTGGAAATTTGATCAGGCCGATGATTTTCAGATTTTCGGCGTTGTTCCATGTGGTAGATTTGTTCTATCCCCCAGAAAACTGGATAAGTTGCCCATAGATAGAGACGAGGCAACACCTGAACAGCAGAGATCAATTATATGATTAGTTGCATCAGTCTTTGTCTTGCTCACACCAGGTGCCAGAATAATTGTATGCTGCTTCAGCTTCCTGACAACCCCAGGATTGGACCATGTAGCCAACAAGGGTTTGATGATCTGTTCCATGACATGCCTATCATTGCACATTATAATATTGAGTCACTAAATAATATAATATAATATAGAAGATGGCATTACCTTCCTGTCCGTCGATCTGCAGGGATTGCAGTAAAGTTGAGGACCCAATTGTTTTCAAGTCGGAGGTCTGTTGGTGGGCGTTGGTCAGCTTGGTGACTGTTTGTCAACAATTTCTGGCGCATCCGTTCATAAGGCATTTGTCGGGAGACATAGGCCTCTGCTTGTGCTGCCCTCTGTTCCTCTGCTCGGCCTTGGGCAAACTGTCCAGCAAGTGCAATGCTCACTGTACCATGCATTGTCTCAGCACCTCCAGAGCGGCGAGCAATACGATGCTGAAGTAGATTATAGCCTTGGAAAAAAATCCCCTTGACTGGCTCAATTGTATGGCCTGAGAGTTGAGCAAGAACTTCATGTTCAGAGTGTTGATCATCAGAGTCATCCGAGTCATCCGAGTTTTCCATCCACTGGGGAGGGGCTCCATGACGTGTAGAGTGGCGAGGCTCGGCATCGGAGTTGGGGGGTTATTATTGTCATCCTCCACATTTGGAGCCAAGAGGGCTTGATTGATGAGCTGTGCTGCCTTGTGAAATTCAGGGAAGACTGAATTGGCTTGAACATGGCCATAATCGGTCAGGAAGGCTTGAGGATAAGTATGAGTCTTGACACTCTCAGACCGATAAGGGTCTGATTGGCGGGGATTTCCATAGACACGATCAAACATATGGGAGGCAGAATTTAGTCGAAAAAGCAATCCCCCTGGGGTTGCCTTTTCACGGAAGAGCTCTTCCTTACGATCGATCTGTGCCCCTTGGGAGTCAAAGATGGGAATTGGTTCACCATCCTCGTCTTCCAGGTCGAAATGCTCCAAATCTTCAATCACCTGCCCATGCTCATCAAAGACTGTCCCAAACTCTTCAAGAATAGCTTGTGGATCAAGAACTTCGGTGTCAACAATGGAAGGTACACTATAATGGTGGGAATCAGAGAATAATTCTAGCACAGAACCAAACACAATACAAACACAATATGGGTGGCAAGTGCAATGCTCCATCGGGAAATGTGTTGGAAACTGAAATTGTGGTTCCATGTCGTTGATGTCTCCTCCAAATTGACCATATCCAGTGGCAAATCCTGACCATACTTGATTGTTACGACAAGGGGAGTTGAGTTTGTGAACCAAGTATCATCTGTCCACGTTGGTGGTGCATTGGCAACAAATTCTGATGTGTAGTAGTGTGCAAGGGCATGATGCATGTTTTCAACATCTCGTCGCCGCAAGGTAAGCTTCCCATTATGCTCCTGACTAATAATAATAAGAGTGCCAATAAGCCATACTACTCCATCCAATCATTTGGGGGAGAACACATACACCCAAGGTGCGACATCCTGGTATTTATTAATATTTCCGCCAATAGGGCATAACGAGTTAGGGTGCTGTAGTCCCGGTCAGAAATATAGGTCATTGACCACAGAATGATGCTCGTTGCCATGCGAATATGGCTGGTATTCATTTGAGTAGGTCCAGTAACGTGGCCACATGGTACAGGGTCAAGTGATCCATCAAGGAACGAATTTGGTGCCATGGCCAGAAATACACTGTCATGACCGAATTTTCCGATGTACAGCATGCGACCCCTTGGATCAAAGCCAAGATCCCCCTTGCGATTCAGAAAGTCCCGCAATGAACCACACAGGTCAAGGTCAAAACTCCAGGTGGGGAGGACCCCAATTGGGCTCGGAGGAAGGATCGCATCAAATCCACAGCGATCGGGCACTTTAAGGGAAAAGTCAATGGAGTGTCCATTGAGACGGAAGGTATATTGTCGTGAGGTTCCCGGTTCATGGAACTGGGGATCCAAGTGTAGTCGATGTTTGCGCTGCAAGAGGCTGAAGGCACTTGCACCATTCTTGTTGATGTACAAGTGGCGCAATGTCTTCATGGGCAGTGTTCGAGATGGTGTATCATAAAACTTTTGCATTTCAGGTTGATTAGAAGCCTCAGTTGTGCCAAGGCGGGCGCGAGCGATGATATCTTGTCTCACAGCACCATATCCCTCTTCTGCAAGAGGATTATGAATGTCATAAGGGGGAATGGTGTCCTCCTCAGAGGGAAGCTCAATGAGATCGGAGGAATCGGTTGAGATCGCTGCCATCTTCACGGCGGATGAGATGTCCTTCAGGTGTTGAAGTGGGAAGATGAGCAAAATATGGCCAATTTGGCAACATGATGGCATATTTCCAATTTCACCAATTTGAAATATTGCCTGTTATGGGAAGTATTTCTGATCCCAGAAAAACAGCAAGGAAATCATATGGTTACTATGCAAAAATGTCCAACTCCGCCACAATGTTTGCGAACATCATGGTGGACTGCCACTCCCTTGCTGAAGGCAATGATACTTTCATCTGAAAAGCAAGGCAGTCAGTCTCCAAAATGTCTAACTCCACCAGTATGTTCGCGAACATTCAGGTGGAGTGGGAGCACTCTGGCTGGAGAACACAAATTATTATGATTATGTGACAATGTACAATGACCAAATTGTTATTTGTGTTTCAGAAATGTTAGACACATTGTTCTGAAGACAGGAAAAAGAAACGGAACACGGATGGGGCCCTGGAACATCATTTTTGGCCAAGTCCACGCATGCCACCTCTGTTTGAGACAAGGTCACCAGGTCGCTGGGGAGCAGCCTCACTTACACCCTTTTTGGCTGTTGCACGGGTACGTCTTGGTTCCTTGATTGGATCCTGGGGCCGTTGCTTCTTTGCAGCAGGCGTTACTGTGGATTCAATAGATGTCCGGGGGCGTTTTACGCCTTGCTCAGGCTCACCCCTATCACTAAGCTCCGATCCAGTTGGATCATCCTCTGGTGTGGGGTCTTCAACATCCCTTTGGCCAGGATCAGGCACAGCCTTCCCCTTACCTTTTTCCACCCTAGTGGGCTGTATTGAAGTGTCTAAGTATCACATAAACTGTGGCATATTATTGACCTACTTTTTTGGATGGCATAGGCTCCTCGTTGTCAGTTGACTTGGCAGCACTGCTTTCACTGCTGCTGTCTGAAGACTTGGATGGAGTGTCATCTCGGTCAGGGTCCCCTTGTTCAGGATCATAATCCTGCTCCTCCTGTTGATCCTCTAATTTATCCAGGGCCTTCTGATGTGTCTGTTTAGTGGTGAGTCTGATGGATATGTTGGCATGTTTGTAGTTATCACTTGCCTCAGAAATGGTGATATCCCGTGCATCTCGGAGCCATTTTGGCAGCACTGGGGATGTTGATTGGCGTTTCTAGGGTTTATGTTAGATCTCTGGAGAGTCATTACTAGTCTAGTGACAATAATTTTACCCCAGCCATAATCGAACTACTCTTGAATGTGAATTTTGAAGGTGGCATTCCTCCCAACAGGCGAATATCCTCCTCAAATAATTGGAGTTCTCCAGCAGAGCCTTCAGCATCTTGCGCTGCTTTTGCCTTTGCCACAGAGGCTATGACTGAGAATCGGTGAAGGTGCTAAGTGAACAAATCAATTATCATTCAGAAAATTCAATATACATTCCTTACCTGCTCAAATGCATTCCATGCTGTTATGATACTGGAATCAATTGGGCCATCTACTTTCCCTCCCTTGTGAATAAATGTTACTCCTTCGAAGGCTTTCCTTAGCCCATCAAGTTGTTGGCGGTGTTGAACACGTGTGGCATGATAAGCCTGTGCTGCAGATCCTCCCTCAGGATCCTCATCACTTGAATCCAATTTTCCCTCAAGGGCACGGACAAAGGCTTCAGGTTGATTGAAGTATGTCAATGACTTTCGAACACGGGTTGGGATGACGAGTTGGAAATCGGGTGGGCTTGGTGCATAAATTGACAATGCATCTCTGACCTTCAAGTGCAATGCAGAAGTGATGGTGTCGCTCTTCAAGAGGGGGCGACGGCAGAGTTCGTTATGTAGCCCATAGCTCACCCATGATAGGCGCCATTTTGCAGAGTTACGGTGCAGGTGATTTGGTCCTGCATCAACCTGGGTAGGAGAAATCCGTGGGTATAATGCCATCGCACGATCAACAGCATCCTTGCCCTTGCGGAATTTGACGAGATCGACATGAGTGAAGTTGTTGTCATACCAGCGCAGGAAAGTGGTGATGGATGTGCGGTATTCAAGGCACTCATCGGACCATGAGATATTGAATGGTGCATCACCCAAAAAGCCATTCTTATGATTCCCAGGCTCTGGAGGGTCCAGAGAGGGGTCATCATCAGGGACCTTTTCCTTGGCCTCCCTGACGCGTGCCTTGGTCTTGGCACGTACATCATATGTTGATCCACGCTCAAAGAACCCACCAGGTAGTGGCGAAGAAGAATTGGTGCGTGAGGGGATGGGCTTGAATCCACAATGATCCCATTCAATTTTCCAGTGTTTAAAGCATGGCAATAATTCACTAAACACGACATGTGTGAACTGTTCATCAGGTGAGCTTGGCATCCATCCAACAAGTATATCCTGGCTACATACCTCCACTTCAGTCCCTGGCTCCACAGCAAGCAAAGGATCTTGAAGAATCGCATCAAATAGTGCATAGGATGCATCAAAGTAGTTAAGTTGGGTGATGTCCATCATGTAGGCATTGACAGGGTCAATCCAAGCATGGATCTATGGCCAACAGATCAGTTGATAATTCTCATGTCATAATAATTTGTTGATAGTCCACCCAGATGTTCGCGAACATTTTGGTGGATGACAGACATATGGCCAGCTCCACCATAATGTTCACGAACATTTCGGTGGATGACAGACGTATGGCCAGCTCCACCAGGATGTTCGCGAACATTTTGGTGGATGACTGAAATATGCCCATACCTGCCATCATGTTTACACACATTATGGTGGATAGGGCTAGACAAACGAAATATGATTGTGACATACCTCCTTGAAAAACTGTTCATATTCTGTTGAAATGTCATCAAACTTTGATAGGAGACCATTTGTGATCAGAATCATATGCCACCTGTGAATGATGCCAGAGAAGAGGACGTTGAAGCGATGGCGACATTTTTGGAGCACCGACTCAGGGAGAATGTTTCGGTTTTGCTCAAGGACCTTTTCGACTGTACTCCATAGTGCTGTTCGGTAGTCAATATATCGTGATGAGTGATCCCGATGTGAGAACTGGAAAACGTCATCTCCATAAGTCCGCTGTGTCTTCTTCGACCCTTTCTTGACAATCGTCGCCACCCCAGCCACCACCTCAGCATCCTCCACACCTTTCCAGAACTCCACATTGAAGTATGCATCAAGTGGGGGCATCCTCTCAACTTTATCAATGAACGTCTTGACAAAATGCAGTGCCAGTTCATCAAGCTCTTCGGTTTTCGCCTTGCGTGATTTTTGCGTCAACTTCCCATCCAGTTCCTTCAGGAGTGCCTCGAATCGCTCATAATCGAAGTTATCATCCACGTCAGACTCCGTCATGAGAAGCCCCAGACGTTCATTTTGTGCTTGGACATATGTCCACAGATACTGTTGAAATGATGAAATCAATGATGTCATACATAATTATTTCACATAGCAAGCAACATACCGCACATGTATGACCAAGAAGTTTTGTCGAGATGTGGTTTATTGTGAAGCCCTTCCAGTCACGGTAGTACTTGCCGACACGGACAAGTTCCATCAGTCCCCGATTGGACCTTTCGTCAGCTGCAATCCGCTGGAGCTTCCTGTGTGTGCCGAGCTTTGGCCACATCACCTTGCGGATATCGAGGTCAATCCCGTCAGGCCCCTCCTTGGCCGCAGCAGCTGACCGCCACAGAGTTGGCCTCCACCCTGTCCTCACCTGGACATTGAGAAGGTGCTGATAAACGGGCACCAACTTCTCTTCCTCTGATGCCATGACTTCGATGACATCCTTGTTTCGTGCGAGAAGCTCAATGACGAAGCTCCCCATACTTTCATCTTGTTCCAAAACATCTAAAAAGCTTTTGTCAGTTTGGATACGAATTTTGTGTTTTCCTCCACTTGCCCAAATCATACACCACAGCAGGCCATGTCACAAGCTCTAGGAGCTTTAACTTCCATTCCTTCAACCTCTCCTCATCCTTCCGATATATTTCCCTCTCCTCCGACGTCGCCATATTATCAACCACCTTCCCTTCCACTGCTTCCCCATACTTCTTTACCTCACCGGCTACCGCTGCATATGCAGCCTGTAATGCCCCAATTCTGATGAATAATGATTATTATCAAATTATTTATAGCGAAAGAAAGCCGATAAATAATGTATCATACCGATGTTGTCCATTTAGAACTTGCAATTGGCCAGCCCTTGCTGCTAGCCAACCCACCTCACTCAGTTCAAGAACTGCCAATGACTTATGGTTATCTGGCGTGATTATTTTTGGCCAGTCAGTACTGGTCACCCAGGGTTGCCGGATCAACAGCACAACTGGCATATCTGGTCGTAGTCTTGATGGACCACTGTCCTCAATGATGCTATCTTTGATGCCATCCAACCCGGCTTGATCGATGGCCCGTGCATTCCTCACACCGTAGGTGAGAGGGAGAGAACTGTGGGTGTGAGCCTTCAGCTCACAAATGCCAATGAAGGCTTTCTCACGCAGTGCATGGGACACTGCTATTGCCTTGTCATATGTCAAACGTCTCAGGTCCTCTGAGATCACCATGTGGCGTGAAAGGCCTTGGATATTCGCATTGGGGAGCGCTGTGCTTCCAGCCATGGTGGATGGGTGATGATGGTGGTGGGTGGTGAGCTGTAGCGTCTGATCGATCAATCGATCAGATCAATCACCTCACTGTTACTCATCATTACTCAAGTCCTACCATTCTGACTCATTCACCTGGTTGGCATAATTATTTCCCCAAATGCTGATATCACAACACTTTATCCTTGGTCCACCAGAATGTTCGCGAACATTCTGGTGGCAACCATGACATTACATGGGTAGGTGACCTATGTCTCAATATTCCTTCAATCCACCAGAATGTTCGCGATCAATCTGGTGGACCAAGGGTTGTGATATTATCAGTCTTGTATAATTTATTGTGTCTAGGTTCTATAATTATTGTACTGACAACCCACTTCTCCGCCATACTGTTCGCGTAAATTCTGGTGATCCTGCCTAAATTAACATGGCGGAACCCTTGCAGTGACGGAACCCTGACACTGTTTTCCCCTATAATAGGAATGAGGGAGAATAGCGGAATTGAATGGGACAATGCAATAGTTGCAAGGTTGGAAGTAAGTCCGGAAAGTCTGAACTCGGAAGTAAAACTCCGGAATATTGGCAAAGGTAAATAAATGGAATCGGCTAACCAATACAATGAGTATAAGTGGAGGTGGGGTCAAAGTCCTAAGACCAGAGTTCCAAGATGGAGATGTGAATGGGATCCAGAGCGGAGGTCCGGAGTCAGGAGCATAGTTGCATACTCATCTGGGAGGTGTTGAGGTTGAGGTCGGACCCCGGATGGTCCGGAGTTGGACCAAACATGGTGTCGGAGCTGGAGGTGGGATAACCTCTTGTGAGTCGGCAAGAAGAAGGTGATGGAAGGGAAGTGGGGCTCCAGAGTCAGTTTCAGAGTTCCGGGAGCCCAGAGCGGAGGTCAGGATTGAATGGATATGACAGTAACCAAGATCACTCCTGACCATCCCTCCTCACTTTCTTCTTTCCTCATCTCGCTTCCTCAACTCACCAAGAGTTATTGTCAAGTGCCTCTGTTCACACTTGCCATGTCAGCAGTATCACAGAAATTCGGTCCATACTTCATCTTGCACCTGCATTTGCTGTGTGAGACAAACTACCGTGCTGAATTGGGCATAGAGCTCACTCCCAATAGCCTCTTCCACCATATGTTTGTTTTTCTTCAAGTTCCAGTATAGTGGAGTGCCTCGGCTTTGTCCCACAGGTTTGAACTGGTGAAAATCACCACAAATGATAACATTCAACCCTCCCCATGCCTTTGTGCTCATTTCATCTGGATAGTTGTGCCTTCGTACCAATTCCAGAATGCTTGAGATTTGTGCAAATAATGTCCGCAACACCATTGAATACTCATCAATAATCAAGTATTCCTTTCCCCACCAAAATCGTGCCAATTCTTCAATCTTTTTGGCACTCAGCATCTTTGCACCACATGCAGTCAATCCGAAGAGGATGTGCAACGTCTTGCCACCAATGAGACTTGCATCATTCAAGAAATTCATCCCAATCATACTTCAAATACTTCACTCCTTTCGAACACTGGGGTGACTTTTTTTTTTGACTTCATATTCTTGTATGTTGAAACTGATCTCTTGGTCAAATAAAAAAGTTTACATCGCTGTCTCACAATATACCCGGTAACCGAAGGAAATAAGTAAGCAGTGCAGAGTCCAGCAAAGTGCGAGCACTCTAGTAGAAAGAACCTTGGCATAATATGGTGCAGAAAGACATTACCAGTTTGATGGAAAGATTGATGATGTTGGCAGAAAACATTCCGGTTCCACTAACCTCACATGCAAAAGGTTGGTGTACTGGCACAGGTCGTACTTATGTTCGCAAACATAAGTACGATTTGGACAATAATGATTCATATGTTGTATTTGTGTTCGCGAACAGAATAAATATTTCTTGTATATTGACCTATGTTGTTGAGCTGTGCTACAACAAAAATATACCTTTGGAAGGGTCCGACCCTTGCCCCTACCCCGACCCAGCTACCTTTTTTTACCTATAAATTGTGGACCCGTCTTCGCTGTAACCATATATATATCCCACTTGTACATAGGTTACACCTGTCAGGGCCCGGCCTCGGACTCGGAGGCTCCCTGACCTCAACCCCCATCTGGCCTGTCCTCACACTATGCGGGGCATGAGATGGATAGTAAAAGGAAAGATAATATATACACTTGCCTATGCGGGGCATGAGATGAGAAGAAGGGTAAAGGTCTCATCTCCCCACATGGTTGCTATATAAAGGAATGGGTCACATGCCCACAACTATACAGCTCCTAGAGTTGTGTAGTGTGACCCGGAGGGAACATCCAGGTGGCAGTGCCCAGTAAGCGTGGGAACATTCTGGGCGAGTTGCTCGCCCAGAACTGTGGCTGTGACCCGTGGGAACATTCTGGGCGAGCTGCTCGCTCAGAAAGTTCCCACGCTATCCCGTGTGCGCATGTACACAACACACAAAGGCAACAACAAGGCAACAGTCAAAGAATAAAAGGGGGTAAAGTAGGTGGGGAGTCTGGGGCACCCTAAGGCAGGGTGCTGAACCCTGACAACACCCCAGTAATAAAATCAACTAGAGTTACCCCCCTTCGGTTCTGATTGCCAGTCAGTAAGTTAGGGCACGGACGTGTCACTAGGCACAGCGCTCTTGGCAGAAGTCGCTGAGGCCAAAGCCCTCCGTCACGGAGACTCTCCCTCGTCTCGAATCTGGTCTCTGACAATTAGAAAGGAAGGGATCTAATCTTAATCCACCCAAATTTTCATAATAAAAGGATCATGCATCAATGAGATACCCAATAACGGGAAGAGTGACATCAAAAGTCTGGGCTCAGGGAAAAGACGATGTTTATGTAGGATCCATATTTAAGACACACACAGAAATTTACACGGAAATTATGATAAATAGGAAACTATAGTTATGCAAATTTTCAGCCCAAACAGTCCAGCCGTTGTGAAGTTATACCAACGACAGGAATAAAGAAATCTGCATCATGTTTAAAGACACGTGAGGGTGGTGATGTGAAGGGAACCAGCCGTTGGAACCGAGATCTGCACTTTGGCAGATTGCGAAGACCAATTTCTGTCCAAATAAGGAAGACTCCGGTCAAAACAAAGCACAGAAAGTACAAAACAACCTTAGATCATGAGGGAAAAATCTGAAATAAATCATGGAAGCCCGTATAAAGGATACAAACACCCGCGCATACCATAAATCCCAAACAATTAAACAGAAATGGCACCCGCATACGAACGACTACAGGAACAATGCACATGATTACCGAATGTGCACATGAACTTTTGCTAACTCGACGAATACCAAGAAATAAAACACAACTTTAGTACCATTGGAAAGGTGAGAATAAATGAAAATTTATGATACTGAGAACGTGAAAAACCATTCAGAAATGAATGAGATACAAGGACATGAAGTTAGAAACCTGAAAACGAGCAGGAAGACAGCTTCTAGAGGTCCAGAGCCCCAAATAAAATACATAAAAATATGATATCTACGAAGACGACCTACTATAACAACGAACAATACATATGGAGGACTAGGATGCAATAATACAAAGGGGAATCAGGGCAGATGGATGAAATCCATGAAAACCACTAAACTACGACGGACCATGGCAGGAATTTTAGGGAACAATATACCAATGAAGCAGAGAGCTATAATACATTTGTTTGAGCAATTCTTGACTACTAGCAACTTTTTCTTTCAGTTTTAAACCTGAATAATTCACTCATTTATCATTTCAAGTCTCATTTCAACTAAATGTTACTGGATAAAAATAGAATAAATCAGCTGAAGGTCTCAGCGCAGCCATACGCATAGTAATGCAAAGTTTGAATTCAGAATGACCAAGTCATAGTGAACTTGATGGTAAATATGAGGAATTTGAAATAGAAAACTGCGACAAATGCAGTGCAGTCAAGTTCTAATTAACTATTAAAATAGCTTAGGCAAGGAAGGACAATAAGGATTCTAGGCACAGTCTGACTGCAGTAGAGCCGCAGTTCAGTGCAGCAGAGTGCAGTAGAACTATAGCGTGAAAATTTCATTTTTTATTCAGTTTGAGGAAAATACACTGTAAATAAATCCTGTAAATACGAGGTAGAGCATGAAAAAGGAAGGCAACCCAAGGAGTATAAAAGGGAGACCCTTTCTGCGACCTTTCACCCCCTCAGAGAAGTAAGAAAATAGAGTATTATTTTTCTCAAGCATTTCTGGTTGTCACTCCAGCGTGAAAAAGTGATATACAGTTAAGATTGCCACTGTAGTAAAAGGCAGCAATTAAGGAGAGAAATATTAAGTAAATATTTCAACAGGAGAGCTGGTTGACACTCCAGATTTCAAAGTGTAAACACAAAACAGTTATTTTGCTACTGTTAAAACAAGCAATAAAGTAAGACAAAAATAAAACAAACTCAAGGGACACTCCAGACACAATCTAAATCATTAACTGAGTAGAATCTTTGAAACTTCACCAAGTAGAAGATTTAATTCAAGTTAAAAAATCCAAATTAAACAATCCTACACAGAATTACACCCAGGCAAATTGAGAAATAGAGGAACAGCTCTGCAGGGCTTTGTTTATCTGTAAGTCAATTCTCAGAAACTTTTAGACTAACCCATAAAATAGAATTAGCCAAAACACTTGGATTGGTACTATAATTACAACAAATATTACTAGTACACTTCCCCATCCTAACTAAAGAACCAGGGAACAGCTTGGTGGTGGTCTCGTTTGAACCTCCCAACTGACCTTCCTTTGTTCTCTCCTTCAATGCTACTTATTTACATGTTAATTGATTCACTGTCTTTTCAGGGCACCTACTTTGTGTTGCTAAGCCCACCAAAGAGGTGGTTTTCACCAAGGGGCCCCCACATTGATCTTGGGGCCCCCTGCTGTGCTATGGCCAGAGTGGCAGGGGCCCTGAAGGGTTGCTTACTATTCCAGGGATGGTAACGTTCCATTCCCCTGTTCACCTCAGGCCTCAGTAGGTCTGTCTAAACATAAGCTTTAATGTGCTGTATATTCAACAGAGTAGAGGTAAAAGGCTACCAGGCCTTTACAACTACTCCGAGGTATATATATGTAAATTACATATCTCGGCACAAATAAATAAAGAAATAATAGCATCACTATAATCAGAATTATAGTGAAGTAAGGTTAATCCCTTACAGGCCCCCAAGGTCAATATGGGGGCCCCTTGGTAAAAACCACCTCTTAGGTAGGCTTAGCAACGCAAAATCGGTACCCTATAGGGCCTCACCCTGGCTGAGCAAGGTGACATGGCAGTGGCATATAGAGTTGAAGAATGATAAGTCCGAGTTTCGAAAGCTGTTTGGATTTGAGTTTAGGCCAGTTGGGGCATGTGAGCCCCAAGAGCTAAACTTGCAAAACTGTCACACATTCCAGTTTTGACATCAGTTTAGGATTTGAGTTTAGGCCGCTGTTTAGAGCTGTTTAGCCAACCGTGAAACCCCCTATTGTATTGTGATACGCTTTTTGTACTGGAACCTGAAACTGAATTGTAATACAAAAACAACGATTTTACGCGCAGAGACGGCTGGGTACGAGTCTGGGAGGGAGTTGACCACTCAGACGGAGTCTGCTGAGCCCCTCAATCAGTTGATTGCTACCCATTCAGATGTGGAGCTGGCCGAGGCCGACGCAAACAAGGGCAAACAAATAAGCACCGAGATGCCCCCAAACCCCCCAAAAAGTTCCGGAAAACATGGATCGAGTCCCGGTGAGGACAAGGCCACTGATCCCATCAGCATTGCACTGGATGAGCCGATGCTGGTCCACGCTGAAACAGAGGAGATCGATGCTTCTCAAGCTTCCCCGTCAGAGGAAAGCAACACCCTCAGACCGGATGAGGGAGCCATTGCTGAGCCTACAGGAAAGCCTATATGGTCCCCGATCGTTGACTCCTTTACTTATTAAATTTCTTATCCTATCCTAGATGACGCCCTCGGTGGAAGCTATGAAATAATAACGTCTTCAAAATCTCACAAAAACACAGTCGACAATGAGACACATGGAATGACACTCTCAATGTCTACTACTACGGATGACAGCTGGGAATACGTTGACCACATGAGCGCCTCCACAGGCGAGGCCCACGAAGGCTACGTTCAGAGGTTATGAAAGCAGTAGAGCCGTTTTTGGGCCGTCTGTGGCAGGATAAGGGACGCGCCCGGGGACGCCAAAGACATGATCCGCTTGTGCTTGTACAGTGCATTATCAGGATGATGATGATAAATACCCCACGGCCCCACATTAAGATGGGAGAATTTTGTGTACAAATAGATGTCAACATGGAGCTTGACCTCCCTCATTGACGCGCTCCCTCATGTCTAGCTCACCTTTTTCGTACTGAATGCCAGGATCTGAGCAGCAACCTCCTCTGCCGAGGGAGAGGCCCAGACGCCGATGTATTGGTTTTAAACAGGTTGTGGAAGCTACTTTGGAAGCCTCCAGAGAGCGGAGGGACAATCCGCAACCATGGATTGTCAGGAAGATTATGGTACCAGTAGTTCTGGCAATAATCGGTTACACTTATTATGTGTACGTTGTGCGTTTGTGCATATCGATGGTCCGAAGGAAGTCTGGCGCTTCTGGTTCACGCAGGGAGGGAAGTGAGTACGTTGCACTGACCAGTCAAACGCTCAATTTCACCAACAGGCGTTGTGTGTAGTTGCGTTCTTAGTTGTTTTTCATTCACTCTTCGCCATGCTTTTGTGGACATACGCCAAAGTCGTCTTGACTCCAGCGGGCTTCGCACGGGAGGTGAGTACTCGGGCCATTATCCGACCCTGTTTAACCCTCGGTTTCTCCTAGTACATCCCCAAGAGCCCTCCACCTGCCATGGCCCAATCTCAGCATAGGCATCCGTACGATGAATCGCTCATGACATACCCTACGAGCATCGGCGGTCCAGAGTATGCGCCCTCTGAAGGATATCGAAGTGCGTCATCGTCCCGACCCCAGAGCCCCACAAGATCCGGATCGTATGCTCAACCGACCATTGTCTCTCCAGTTCCCTCATTGCAAGATGGGGTCGTAGATGATCCCGGAAACGACCATAATGCGCATAGGCCCCCGACCTCACCCCCTGACTCTGTCGTGGAATCACCAGCACAAGCCTACGCTCGCAGCTATTCCTCTCAATGGCGTGCATCTCAGTCTAATGATAATAATGAGCATGCACTACATAATAACCAAGCTGCGAATGACCTCGTCGAGATGGATGCTATTCCCGCAGTGACCACAATGAACGCAGAAGGTCAATTAACTCCGCCGCCAGATAATGAACAACATTCCAACACGGATTCTATACCCCGGGCCTGCCCGCCTCCCTCTAGACAACCTCCTTCCCATCCTGCCCTGGCTCCGCAATATCGTTATTGTCGAAACGACGAGATAATCAAGCCCCCCCGTACACACCACTGTCGAATATGCGGCACTGTAGGTTCTATCTGCATTCAGTTTGCTGTTGAAGGCTGAGTTGTCCGCCAGTGCGTGCTCATGTTCGATCATCACTGTCCATGGATAGGTCAATGTGTTGGCGCCGGAAACCGACGGGTGAGTCTGATGACGGATCCTGGCTTCTTGAATGGCCATTTGACGCCACTTATTCATGTTGTAGTTTTTCCTCCTGTTCTGCGCCTGGTGTTTCCTTTTCTCTTTCTGGACGGCCATAACATTATTAATACCCACCGCATTACACGCGAACAACGGTGATCCACAGGAGATCGTGATGATATTCGTGTGCGTCCCAACACTGGTCACCATCTGAGCGTTTGCATTGACGGGACGCTCTACAGCGCTGCGCTCTTTTCGCTATTTACGGGATCACTTGCTACTAACCACTTTACACTAATTCGGTATAATTCTACAACAGTTGAACACCTGTCGGTTACTCGTATGCGACAACGCGAGCGCGCGGTACTTGCAAATTACTTCAAGATTTGGCAGTGCCGGTATGTGCAACTACCACCTTTCGAACAGATCGTCGCCAAATTCGTTTCTTCTCTTTGTCGCCGCCAGTGAAAAGCGATATTTATTACGGCAGTGGGATGAAGAATGGGGAAGACTTGGGACAGAAGGGAACTTGTGGTGGCTTGGGAGTGCCCATGCAAATTGGGAAGCCGTGATGGGCAAAAACCCTTGGTATTGGATTTGTAAGCTTGTCTCCGAATCGCGAGGGTTATCTGAACGGGGCTCACATTGGAACCGCGGACGTGTCAACAGTCCCTATAGGAAAAAGTTTTACAGACGGACTGGACTTTCCCCGGAACCCACGTTTTTCCGAAGACGGACGGTGGCGACGACGAGCCGAATGGCCCCCTAATGGGCTCTGACTTGCGAGTGAAAGCCCTCAGTCTGGGCCCTGCTATTATTGGTTCTGTTCAGGGGTGGTTTTTGGTTGTACCTCTTGCCGCATCTCCGCTTTACATCACGTAAAACGGTAAGTATGGATGCGTGCAATTGGGTAGTCGACCATGTTGTGGATCTTGATTCTGTTCGAGAACGCATGAAGGAGAGAGGTGAAGATACATTCCACGTTGAGGCGCAACAAGTTGATGTAGAATGTTATGATTACGTTGGATATAAACGTTGCAAGGTACAGATGAGCTTAGGCTATTAAGCAACGAACAACTTTGTCTCCGGGGTCATCGTCGCCGTCGGACTTGAGGGTGGAAGCATTGGTAGACAGCCTCTCTAAAGTGTTGGATCCGGATGTCACAATCACGGTTGAATTGACGCCCTTTTCTCCGCAAAACCCGTTCAGTTCCCTAAAGTCACTCGTTTCCTTACATCTTGCACCTTCCTCCCCCTTGCACCCCCTCCCCCCCCCTTTCTCCCCCTCCAGCCTCCTTCCGAGCTCTGATACACTCCCTCACTCCTTCTCCACGTCTATCTTCGCGTCATTGCTTATCAGCCCCCATCCTCAACTCTCCGTTTCAAATTAAGCTCAACATGCCCAATTGGCACGATCCCGCGTGCGTCCCCCCATTTGTTTTTCTCTCACGGCTAAAACTCCAATCGTCCTAATTTTCTGCGTTTTCCTATCCCGTCTTCAGTGAGATCCAACGCGATGTCAGTCCTGTGTTCTGACCTACGCTGACGCCACCATCTAAACTCACGCATCTAGATTCAAATCTTTGCCAAGTCTCTTTTATTCTGGCTTGGTGTCTATGTGTGCGTGTACTATCCCCACTGTCTCAGTTGTCGGAGACGCTCATTGTAGAGCGGTAGCTGGGAATACCTCAACTCCCTTGGACCCGACTTGGACATCCTTCTCGCGCGCCGACCATTTCGCCCTGCCCAGCTCGTCTATTTCGCTTGCCGCTATGCAAACCTTGCTTTTCTCATTGGAACGTGAGCCTATCAATTTCAGATTGCCCAACATGATCCCAGGACTGAACACGTCTCCCTTACAGAAATATCGCAATGGAGGTCTCGCATCCCATCAACTGTCGTGCGCTCTATATCTTTGATACTGTTGGTATTTATTACATCCAGCGCGTGGGACTTGGCTAATTTTTTTCTCCTCTCCGAAGCTTACACTTGGTGTCGTGTTGGGAACATCATCTGGGCTCCTCATGCTCCGAACGTATGTCCTACCTGAACTGAAACAAAACAAATGGTCCTGATGGACTCTCATCCCCAGCGCCGTTGTTTGGGGTTACGATAAACGAGTCGTCATTCCTTTGATCATTTGTTCGCTCGGTCATTGGGCCGTTATTCTTCGGGGTGCGTTGATTATTCCTTTTGTATTACATTAACTTGACAACGATTTCACCACCTTAAGATATCGTTGTGGTGCACGCGTCATGGAATCCGCCCGCCCACACTTGTGTATGTGTCTATTTCAATTCACATGTGGTCATACGACGGTGATGCTATGAATGTCCAGGCTGTAGACGAAGTCTTCAATTACTGGCTCGCTGTCGAGTTCATTTACAGTACGCATTCTACGCATGGGATGTTTCGATGACATGAACTGAGAACCGCCGTAGCCATGGTCTTGGACTTCATTATTCTCTGCCTTACTACTATCGGCCTTTTCAGATGCTTGCCGATCAAAAGCAAGGTCAGGGACGTTCTTCTTCGTGACGGGTGAGTAGATTTATAACATTTCGCGTTTCTGACGCCGCTGACTCCAAGGAAGGGTTGTTTATTTTATTTGCGCCTTCACCGCGTACCTGATACCTTCAATCGTCATGTTAATGCATTTGAATCGTAAGCAGATGAGCCCCACATAGGCAACCCTGGTACTAATTGTCTTTTTCCAGCTATCATGGATTTGTGAGTCGAAACCAGTCAGAAATAAAAGACCAACGTTAACATAATCTTCATCTTCTAGCCTTTTCGTTCCCCTGGCCTCCACTGTTAGCTCGATTGTTGCAACACGATCCGTTCGAAGGCTTACACTCGCTTTCCATGTGGACTCTTCCCGCAGTCATGCGCTGGACACGAATGCCCAGTGAGTTTTTCAGTCAAGCACTACAGCCTGTCATTCCAACTCCTGATTCTCATTATTCGTAGCCGTCAAAAGAATTCATCGGGCACGCGATCCACTTTCTCTCTTAGTACCCCTTACATGAGTACTCGAAGCGCAATCGAGCCCAAAAACGTGCGATTCCCAATCACTGCGCCACTTTCAGCTCGCCAAAAGAAGAGGGCTGACTCCACCTCAGGCACCCAGACCACTTCCAATGGTAGCATGACGATCTCAAAAAATAGCGCCCTGGACATTGAAAAGAACATTCACCCCGATCCTATTGAAGGCTCCGGAACTGAGGGAATAGTTGAACTTCCTATGCATGTGTACGTTAGGTATGTTCACTTTTAAACATGGTTCTTGGGGGTTCTACTGATTTGAATTCGTGTCGAATAGTACAACTCAAGTCACTGACGCAGACGTTGAGCAACAACCAACGCCTGACGCCCCTCCGCCCCGCCTCCTTTAATTCGGCATATTACCGCATTATCGATGGTCTACTCTTCCATCCCACCCAAAACTTGATCCGTGATCAATTCTGGCTTACCACCCTTCCTAAACCCGATGACCTTAAGACCAATCCCGCAACGGCGTTTACGTTATAACGTCGCACCAATGTCGCTGTTCTCGCTTAATTCCAATTTCCTTCGTTGTTTCCCTTCGCCTTAACTTATGGTCCGACGTTCCCTCCCCTCTCTTCCGTTTCTCACTTTACCACATGCCGTCCGCCCCCGTCTGTCGACTAATACTCTAACCACATCATCCTGTTCCATTCATATTGTTAAGCATTCGTAATTCGTTGGCATGGTCACCATGGTCACGAAAGCTTCGGCATTCGTCACTCGCGACCTTTATTCTTTTCTTCTTGACACAATAGGTTGAAGACTACACTTCGATGACTTCCCCCCGGCCCTCCTCTTCGCTCTCGCTCCTGCTAAATGACACACTTCTCACCCTGCGTACCATCATTGTTCTGCCCGCCAGCTTAGCTTACCCACATTTCCCCCTTTGAAGCATCGTCCCTTTGCATCATCAGGTTCAACATCGATCCTCCACTTCCACTCTTACAGTATCTTCTGTTCTAGCAATTCTTGGTCACTTGTTTGTTTCATGTTGATTCCCCTAATGTTATTGGAGCCGATGTATGCCAGTGTCTTCCACATGCATAATCAAACTCCAAACTATTTTTTGCATATCGATTACAATTCCAAGATATTGCTTCAGTGTTTTACTTATATGTCGACGGGGCATTGCAGACAACACTGTCTCCCCGTCGTTGACGGAGCCAAACCGCTCTTCCACGGCGCGTAATATAATAGCTCCGAATAAAACAGAAGGTGTGAATTTCGTCGAACGTCGCTGGAATCATTGCGACACCCAGAAGTGCAGGGTTGTCACCTGCGCTGGCATGGAACCACAGAATCCATTGCCACCATTTGAGAAAGGCGTTGTTTACACAGAAGGCAGGAAATGTGCATGTGATTTGCTGCGCTGCCGGGCCCACAACTTTTCGTCGTGAACTGTGCACGGGCTGGCTCCCAAGAAATATTCCGTCCGTACTCCTACCCGATAAGATCCGAATTTTTGGCAGAATATGATCTGCTGATTTCTTCAACAAACGCCCCACATTTACTGGACTTTCAATGCATCCTCGCTCTCCCGTGTCTATATACGGCGAAGTAATTCTTTAGGCCTATCTCGGCAGTTGAGCTCGAGCTGAAAGACCACGATCCTTCACACGCATTCCTTCACAAGTGGTTCAGTCTATGTCGGCCTAGGCACTGTTTGCGCTACAATAAATCCGACCAACTTCAACGCTACATGCTCAGGCATGACTTCCAGTCACCCTCGGGTCGTTCCAAGACATATAAAAGAAGTAAAACGAAAAGAATGATTTTCCTTTTCGTTGAAAGCACCAGGTAGAATGCTGAAACCATGTGGCCACCCCCGAGAAGAGCACATATCGATATCGATGCCGGCAACATGTTCACTACACTATACTAGAAGAGTGTGGGTTGAATTTCACTTAGACAATGAAAGACAAATACTCATTTTGTTAATTATTTCTGCGCAAGTTTACAGGTCAAACCAAGTGTTGCGTAAAAGATATATTGTTACGGAGTCGTAGAGGCTGGAGTCTGCGCAAAAGCATGCATGCCGCTTACATGCCGCTACAGATTCACCGCGTGAGAATCGTAAATCGCTCGACACCCAGTGTTTCAATTTGAGATACGAGTGCGTCAATGCTTTGGTTTTCAAAGCTATCTTTGGTTTCACTCTGGTTCATCAGTCAGAAGCTCTCGCCTGGAATTTGATCATGACCGCAGCGTCTCAGTTCAGGAGCCGCCTGACACTGAGACGAACTCCTTCACACCGTATCCAGCCAGATACCACTACTGTTTGCCTTTTAATTCGGGGGGGATGACGTTTCCCCTTCTCCTGGTTCTATGTACTCTGGCTCCTATAGCACTAACTGAAGTGCTTGCTCGTCGAATTTCCAGTGCCAATCATTCCTCGGTTTGACCCCATGAAACGCCAAAAGTTCTACGCCTCAGCTCTTGTGGCGTCTTTTGCCTTAGTAGCTGGCTCGTCTTCTGGTCTGACCGACCACAGAACCTTTAGGGCGCGAGGGGGAAACCGGCTTCTGTCACACCGCCGTCAGAACCCGTATGTCGGGCACCATCACCATTTCCTAGAACATCCGCATCAAAGTCGCTACTCACCTCCACCACAACCCCAACTTGAGTCTAGAGATTCTCCTAAATATGTCCTTGTTGAGGAACGGAAAGGAAATAGCTTCTTTGATGGCTTTGATTTCTTCACATCCCCAGATCCCACTCACGGGATGGTGAATTACCTTGACCAGAACGCTGCCCGCAATGCTGGGCTCGTTTATGTGCAACCTGATGGCACCGTCGTTATGAAGGTAGATAATTCCACTAATCTTCCTTACGGTGCATTGCGTAATTCGTGAGTGCTGCTTACTTCTCTGTGTTCTAATCTGATTATTCCTCGCCCCTAATGAATAGTGTACGAATCTCGAGTATCAGAAAGTACCAGGGAGGACTGTTCATTTTTGACGTCCAAGCGGGCCCGTTTGGGTGTGGGGTTTGGCCTGCGTTCTGGACCGTGGGTCCAGATTGGCCTTTAGGCGGTAAGCCCATTGGACTCCCAGCGCTAATACTATTTGACGTCCTTCCCGCACCACAGGAGAAATTGACATTTTTGAAGGTGTCCACTACGGTCCTACCAATCAGATGACCTTACATACTGCCCCTGGTTGTTCCACTGACACTAATTCAACGGTCCCAAATGATTTCCGCGTACCACCGTCTTCGGCAGGCATGGGAACATCGAACTGCGGCCCCTCTCCAAATAACGGTGGATGCTATTTCATTGATAACAATCCGACCTCATACGGCACGAAGTTTAGGGACGCTGGTGGCGCAGTGATGGCAATGGAGTGGAGCAATCGCGGAATTAGAATTTGTCCGTTTTCTCTCCGTCCACATTTTCCTGGCTCAAACGTCATTCTTAGGGAACTTTCCTCGCAATCACGTCCCTTTTGACCTCAAGGCTCAAAAGCCTGTACCTGCCCTCTGGTCGAGCGCGTACCTCAAAGCCGCATGGACTTCAACGGCTTGTCCGCCTTCGAAGTACTTTAGACAGCATTCAATTGTTATCGACACCACGCTCTGTGGCGATTGGGCTGGGACTACGTACACGAGCGCAGGGTGTCCTGGGACCTGCACCCAACAAATTATGACAGCTGGTAACTTCGATAGTGAGTGCTCGTGGACCATTTCTTGCACAGGGTAGTCTAACCACTGGATCCCGCAATTTAGACGCGGTATGGAAAATCAATGCTGTTGCGGTATACACTCAGAAGTAGCATGTTCATGTTATCACTATTTGTGTTTGGGTTAGGAGGCTCGGGATAATTCATTCCCTTCGTTTTAGTGCACGTTTCAATTTGTTTGTCCTGGATGGTTGTTGCGCCATAACGAATTTGAACACGTTCCCTTGGGCGTCAGTCAGATGTAGGCTCGATCCCTCAACATGAAATCCGGCATATTCGGTGATCACAGTTGCTCTGGAATGCGTGGTTGAAAAGGGATACAACACATCCCTCTTTATGTATTCGGACTAAAGTTGAACACTAAAACCCTCTATCCGCTTGTGGCCGCCACTAGGCCCAGAATGAGCAAGACTGCACCAAGAAAAGCGTAGGTGCATTTTGAACTCCAACACACATAAGTCGATTTATCCCAATATTCGAATTAGGCATCTCCGAAAGATAACCCTCAACAAGATGGATCTGAAGCAATTTGGGAGGCAGGGGCTCTCTGGGCCAGTGAGACAATGGACGACAATGGACCTCAGCAGCAACTCGGAAATACGAAGTGATCAGGTAGTACTTGTAGCTCGGCAACTGTCCTATAGGGCATCATGCAACATAAATGACTGAGGAAGTCCTGAAAACCCATCAAGTTTGCGACAAGCATGAAACTTGGTAAATTGGAAAGCAAATTCCAAACCGGCACCCTTAAGCCCGGCCTATCAAAACATATGACAGATAGCCGACAAACAAAACGTCTGAGAAACCGTTCGAAGACCCAGATGAGTATGGGAAAGATCGCTCAACGTAAGTGTTTAAGAGTGGCCGCAAGACGCGATGTATATATAGTAATGCCAGACTCGAGAACACTGGCATTCCTCCATTATAGAGCGTAATTTGTCACGAGTACCATGTGCTTCTATTGGTGGTCCATGTTTTGTTTCGTTGGGCAACACTATAATCACCATCAAATACCTCATGGCTTTAAGGCAAGACGGACTTAACAGCCCACTGAACAGCTTCCTCTACATCATTGACAATGGCCGTGGGCGTATGCTTTGGAGGCGCACCATCGGAGTCGTACACGCCTGTCTTAACGAGGAGAGAACACCAGCCTGCTGCATTAGCGCCGGCGATATCTGGATAAGGTTCCATACCAAACTCGGCGTTGGTCCCTGTAGAGGATAGTATATGTTTACGCACCAGATTCAGGATTATCTTTAAAGACGGCGGCAGCCAGAGTGTTCCCACAGATTTAGGCATGCAATAGAGCAGATAGCGTTCGAAAACTTACCGCCAACCATAAACCTAAGGTGTTTCGAAGTGACAAGTCAGTCTGGCCGAAAGGCAATGGCAACCGAGGCCCACCCACACTTTTGGTAACCGCGCATTCTTGTCGTCAAGCTGCCATCCTGAATCCTCCCATTGCTTACGGAGCATAGACTTTCCATAATCAAACGTTATCTTGTTAGGTTTTCCGAACCCCACATACGGGTACTCTGAGCCTGTTGCTGCCTATTTACCAGCAGACGGACGGAACATCGCATAAGAGTTTAGAGATGATGGAGAAGTGGCAACGAAATGCAAGATGCCTCACTTTGAACGTAGCTTGAAAGGCAGCCCTGAAAGCACCTTGTCCGTATCTCGGCATGTCAAAACCACCCTTCCATAACAAATCCGGGTTACAAAAGAAAAGTTTCGCTCCTTTTTGACCCCACTTATAACGAGGCGGGCAGGATCCAAGCGGGTGAGGGTGGGAGAGGAGAACGTCAGTGAGAATTTGGATGTCGAGTGCCCAGTTACGAGGGTCGTGCATAACAAAAATTGAAGTAATGGGTGCTGTGGAGAAGTCATGTCTCTTAATGAAGGGAGGGTTTGGGTCACAGGAGAGGGAGGACGCGTTCGTTATGAATCAGAAAAGGTTAAACGCGAATGAGGGTAGGGGGACTTACGACTGTGTGGTTTAGTTCCGGCTGGGTGAGAGTGTGGAATGGCCAAATGCTGTTGGAATAGGTAAGGTAGATATACGAAGAGAAAGCTGGGAGCATCTATGACGCACTCTGGATTCCAGGCCAGAATGTCCTGCGTCGTATACACGTTGCGGAAACCATAACTGCCATTCAAACATGACACATCAAGTCAACGAAGGCTGGATAAGCATAGGTACGGATAACAAAGTGTTTTGCGAACTTTTTTGCAACATGCCTCAACTCGTCAAGCACACCACCAAGAACAAGGATTTGTTCATCCCTTAGGTTATCTGGCCCTGAATCGTTCCCAACGTACCCCTTCATGACACTATTTTCAATGATCGCTCAGCATTTTGAGGGCATGGAATGAAATATCTACTGTCGTACGTATGCGATTGCAGGATCTGACTCGGTTTGATGTCTATTTCACATCGGATTGGAACATAACAGTTTAGACAGTGAAGTTGACAGAACTTACCACGGCTGAGTAAACGTGAGAGTACCTGCGCTCTGTCGTCCTCGGATGTACCGCCTCCATTAGTGATAAATATAAAAGGAATCCCTCTAAGATACATGTCATTGGCAATTGAATTCGGGTGTGAGATGAACGTGCCACTACTTATTCCAAGGATTACGCCCATATAGGATATCCAGAGCTCTATAAGTTGATGGAATGACTTTCTTCCCACAGAGTATCACGCCATCCTCCAGGAATCGTAAGGCCTAACTTGACTGAGGCGCTGAAAAATGGGGAACACACTATATCAAACGCAAAGGATATTGGAAGCGAGCTGGTATGTAGACTTCTGGGTGAGCTATGGCCTATTCCCAAAGAACTCTTCTGTTGCCTCCAGACAGAGGCACCCAGTGCCGGCCTATATAGCGCCCGGACTGACCTCATAGCATGGACAGCGATCGTCAGCCTCCGGCCGCCACCATCAGGAAAGTTCACATCACCTGACCAATATGCCGGTGAGTTGCTGCCAACTGCTTCGTTTGTTTCCTTCGCCGGTGATCCCCAACACTTCAAAGAGATCTCAAGCTTCCGGATCCAACTATTGATGGGACTATCCTTCCTTTCATCCGGGTTGCACGCTTGGTAAGTGAGACAGTATTCGACCCGTTGATACGCGCCCACCTCTGGAGCATCGAAGCTTTCCGTGACCGATCTGTAAACAGGGGAAATGTCGCGGGGAAACGGAGGAAGAGCTCTGACAAATGTGATAATGCTATGGATTCTGCCTGGCAGGCATTTTCGAGATGCAGACGAAAAGCACTAAAAAATGGACAAAGTTGGTGCTAATCAAGCTATGCCCAGGGTTTTCTTACAAGCAGGTGAGGACTTTCAGCCCCTTGCAACACTCCTTCTGAACAACTGCCAGCATAGAAGAAGTGCTTATTATCAACATCCCAATCAGTAATCAACATCCCACTCATTACTGATTGGGATGATAACGACATTGAGGTGGCGTGAATTCAAGGATTTGATTCGTAGCATGTAGTATCATGATAACTCCATTTACCCTCTTCCTCCTCACTGTCCTTGTACTCTTTGTCTTTATGTTGTTACTCGTCACTCGATATAGCGTTTGTAGCGTTATTATACCGACGAATAGTTGAGCGTGAGTACTGAGCAACTCATCCGACGTCCTGCTCCGCATGCACAAATAAAATGGTCATGATCATGGGTACCATCTTTTCCATAGCGAACTTATAATATCTCTTAAATCTGTATCATCCATTTTTCCTTTTGAAACAGACCGCTACTTTCTATAAAATTCCGGGTGCGGCTTAATTCGCCAGAGAGTGGTCGGTCTTTCCTTGGGCCCGGTCCTTGGTGCAATCTTGCTTGGAGGAAGCTACTACGTGCGTGGTCGATCCTTAATACCCATAAACCGTTATGTATTTCATCATCCACAACCATCGTAAAGTGACCGTTTACCTCATTAAGCCGGTAGAAAACTACGAACAAACAGGTCTTTTACCCTCGTTAGCGTGGTGATGGGGACTCGGTAAAGGGCCATAGTCTCAATGACAAAATCATATTCTAATCATTGTCAAAGTAAAGGCATTTTAAATAGTTTTTTATGCGACTCTATTTCCCACTGTGGATTATTTATATGCTATGCGAACGATGCAACCAACCGAGTTCAAGAAGCCAATAGTTAGGTATCAATACGATTGAGTTTCCGCCACTTGGCAGCATTCTCATCGGCATTACCTTCCCAAGTTGTACCCTCCCTAACCGCTGCTTTCCAATTGGGTTGTTTCGCAAAGGACTCCTTCAGAGCTTGAAGTGCGGAAGGATTTGTGAACGGGTTCGTTGGAATGAACACCTTTCCAGATGCACTGGAACCAGCGACAGGACCGCCCGAACGAAGAAGTCGTCCGCCACCGGCTTCATTATTGCCTGGACCTTGATTGTAGCCATTGCCACCACGACCACGACCACGACCACGACCACGGCGACCACGGCGAGCATCACCATCACCATGACCACTGCCACTAACACCACGATCGCCATCGTCATTGATCCAATGAACCCCAGAGACAGGTAGAGGGATAGCTCGATCCCGGCGTTGTGGCCAGTGACCACGCACCCGCATTTCATGAAAAAGAAATGCGCCATGAAATGGCAATCGATCACCGTTTCCGGAGAGGTTTATCGCTCGGCCATGATAGACTTCCAACATCTCTAATTGAGAATGGTTAATAAGAACAAAGCGCCTTTGCTACAGTAGGGGTGGGTAAGAATAGGCGTGGCTTCAGAGACCAGAAAACTACCTCAGGGAACCAGCGTATATAAAAGGAATACGCCTCAAATAGGCTATGGTGGGTCATGCACAGCCGAATACCGTTTCGCGCCTCATGCTCCACACTCTTTGCCGCTGCCGGCACGAAACCATTGTCCTTCATTTCCTGCCACTGTACCATGATCAGTTTCTGATACGGTAAAACAGTAATTAATAACGCGCAGTGTCGCGTTCTACCCCCGGGATTATGTGGGAGTAATGCAAAGCCCGTCGTTCGGATACACCACAAATGACACACAAGTCCGCATCCCGTATCCAGATCCCTGTGTCGAAGGCTTCCGTTCCTGATGTAGTAGAAATGGCGTGGTCCGAATATTGGAAGGGATTACCTTCTAACAGGTTGAACGGAGTTGGAGTCCACTCCATGTGTGGCGGTAGGCAGGTTAGTGTGGCGGGAGTGAACTTGAAGAAAATTTTGTCACACATCACGTGAAACATGCGGTTCAATGTCCAGCGTGACACGAGGGTAAGGTGGCTATGCAAATCCTCAATTTAAAACTTCCTAACTTGGCCACTACTGCATCGAAATTTAAGGCGGTACTTTTCTACCACATCAGGAAAGGAGGGACCTCCTGGAGCTGAGAGCCTAAAAGGTCCTTACCCCCTCTCAAAGCACCAGGAAAGCGGGTGAGAATTTGGATGTCGAGCGGAAAAGTCCACGTCACCTGGCCAATATGCAACTATGACGTCCTGCTCCGCACAAATTCTTCATGTTTCCATAAAATGATCATGGGTCTTCCTTATAATATCTGCACCATCCTTCTCTACGACTGGCATCTCCCCAAACACACCCTCAATCCATGTCTTCATCTCTCTTTCATCGCCGCGTAGCATCGTCTGCCCTTGCTTTGACTCATCGCCAAGCCCTTCTGAGACAGGCAGCCACTCTCCATAACTGCCGTACCTATGCGACAACCACTGAATCTAAGTCTGACCCACTTACTCCGGGTGCGGCTCCGCCACCAATGAGTGGAGGCTCGGTCTTCCCTTGGGTCGTTGGTGCAATCTTGCTTGGAGGAGGTTACTACGTGCGTAGTCGGTGCCTCTGCTAATATTCCGTTCAGGTTAAATGCTAACTTGTCACCCCTGTCTTTTGTCGCTCATTCCACAAATTTGATACTGCCACCCAGTACTACACCGGTCAAGAGCAGCCTGCCAATAAGAAAAGAATAGAGAAGGACGCCAAGGTGCTGAAGAAGGACTCTAAAGAAGCCTTTGACAGGGGTGCCGACAATGCCCAAGACAAGGCAGCTTCATCTTATGACCAAGGGAAACGTACTATTCAGGAGTATAAGGTCTTTCAGTATTTTCCCATATTCTCAAGATGCGTCCTAAACCACCTCTTCCCCCCTCCAGTCCAATGCCGAATCTAAAGCCTCTCAATTTCAATCTTCCGCAACTGATACACAGGACAAAGTTCACGAGACGTACGACTCCGCTATGTCCAAGGCCAGATCTGCATACGGCGCCTATGCTGCCAAATTCAATGCCGCTGAGCGCGAAGCGTGGAATAAGCTGAGCAACGCAGAGAAGGAAGCCGCTATCAAATCTAGTGAGGTCAAGGAGCAGAGTAAATGGTGGCTCAGCCGGTTATGGCCTTGGGGTGAACCATCGAAGGACGTAAAAGATGAGGCGAAAGGCGTATGGCATACCACGAAAACTGAAGCACAGAGACTCAAAGACGAGCCATTCCCTAAGGACAATAAATGATGTACGACGGACGGATTGTCCACCACGTAATCCTATTGCTACAACAATGGCTGCTGAATGCAAAAGACTGGTCATTTGAGCCTCGGAATAATGGCTGGATCTACATTCAACGAGTCGAAAATAGGCCAGAAGAAAAGCTAGTGAATGATGCTGGGCAATTTGATGTTCTGAACAAAAGATACTCATGTAGTGATGATGAAAACAACAAAAATGAAAGGCTGCACATTTAATTGTGAGAGTTCGTTGTCGCGAAGACCATCAAAGCCAAAGGAAGGTGAAGACAGTGCGGGTCATCAACAAAGGACCCCACACGTTTGATGCCCATCACGTAACACTTCAGGTTCGATACAGAGGTCCTTGTAGTCCTTACTAGACCAAACAAACAGTATAGCTGTGGTTCGCGGTCCACGACCCAGAATAATAAGAGGCAATAGGATAGATGGGGCGTTAAAATACCAAGGTAATGACTGGTGATGATGCGTTGGAGAACTTGCTGGCGCAAATGCGGTGATCAAGGGTCACTAGGACGAGAACGATTGTAATAAAAGGTGTGCACTAATGGGATACGTGAAGGTTTGCCATTGTTCTTGTGTTCTGCGTTTCACTTCGAAGTTGTACAACAATTCAGTATTTCTTGATAACAACTTGAATTTGGGGCCCGAGGCTTCTCGAGTCAAGATGAGTTATTGGCGGATCTAATCCAACCCGAAACCCGAAACACTCACGTCGTAACACCCGGACTTCATCTCATACACTTCATACTCCTCCTAAGCCTCATCATTCTCACATTGACGTCTTCCTCGGCGCCATGTGGATCCACACCCGGTAAATCGCCCGATCGTGCGAGGTTATGCCACCAAATAACTTCTCCAGGTTTCAAGCGCCGTCCACGTCGGGAACATCTGGGTCTCGGATGAAGAGGATGAGCGTGCATTCCAGGATTACCTCCTATACGAGCCTCTGGATGATCAGGAGACGAGACAGGGGAAGGGTGCTTGTATTCTCCGTCCTCATCTCTGTCATCGTCATCATCCGAGTCTAGAAGGGGGTCGTATATGGGTGTCGAATCAGTGTTCATACTGTCCATATGGTGGACTAAGACACGAGGGAGAGAATGATGTGTACTAGGGTGCGAAACATGATATGGGATAACGCCGGGTTCGCCCTTGACGTACAGTCGTTCACTGGCAGAAACTTCACTTTGGTGGAAGACAAACCGGTGACCATTCGCGGTGTTCTGATGCCGCGTCACAGAAGAAGAACACTTGGAACACTGGCAAGGTGACCATCAAAGGAAGTTCAGTTGGCGCCACCATGGGACCAGAATAAAGGCATCCGTAGACAGCAAACTCACAGGCATGACAATAGCATATCCAATGGGATTCCCACATCCATGACAGCACAGAGACTGTGTGAGACATTCGCATGTTCGTGGAACAGGTGGTTCGGAAGACGAAGGGGCTGATGAACGAGGCGGTGTGCTACAGTTGACCGGTAGAGCATCCGTGCTATACAAACTGATATTCGGTCGCAACAAAAGAACAGCCTGTACGGGTAAGGGTAGTCCGTTAGCAACATCAAGATAGACAAATGATAATTTTGTTGAAACCCCTATACCTTCATACCACGATCGGAAAGAAACGTATCACACGATGCACAATGTATTTTGTACACTTTATGCTGTAACACGGGTGGTGGTGGCCGCGGACCAGAAGGAGTAGAAGACCATGAAGGTCTATATGTGCTTTCACCCCGTCGCTCGTGATAAGTGGAAGGATACTGTTGGCGTCGTTCATCAAACACTCTAAGAGGAGCCGGATGCGTCCAATAAGGTGAAACAGACGATGGGTCACTCAGTAGGTTGTCGGCAGAGGGGGGTGGGGGTTGAGGAAGAGAAGGGTATGTCACAGGAGAATACGTAGAGCTGCTGGTGACGGGCAATGTACTTGAAGTGGACAAAGGGGAGTATCCCGCACTCGTTCCCGCGCCAGGACCGGTGTCCATTCCAGGAGGGGAAGGACTTTGCAACGGTCGTCGGGGAGGATGAACTGGAGGGCTATCCCAATACACAGAATGTGCTAATTCCCTACTTGCAACACGAGAGGACGAGGAAGACAAAGTATACGACGGGTCTTGATTGCCAACGATGTTCGGTATCGACGTATAAGCGAACGATTGGCTATAGGTGGGTTGTTGAAACCAAGATCGGTTGACGGTGAACGGTGGAGCAGAACGACTTCCAAAAGTCTGAGACAGTGCGGGTGGCCTTACGGTAGTATTAGCTGACTGCTGCGCCGCCCACAACTGGCGACTCCGTGGAGAAATGGAACTCCTGATGGGAGGATACGAACCAGATTCATCTGCCTCTTGAAAATTTTCCCAGCCGTTTTCCATGGCTAACGAGGGAGGAGGCCGTGAGAGGACAGCAATCGTCTCAGTTCTAATGAACACCTGAGCTGTCCCCTATTTGTCGATGTTTGGACCGGAGTCTCTTTCCCACGATCAATGCATTGCATGGACTCATCATGATTGAGATGTGAGACGCACAACAAGCTCTGATTTGGATGAATGTTGTATATGGACAATATTGACTACAGCAGAGATCGGTGAACACTTGTCTCTACAGGGACGAAATAGGAGGGGCAAAGGCGTTGGGGAACGGGGATATGCTACATGCAATGGGTCGACATTCGTTGAGAGAACGGAAAACGAGTCTTGGTGGATGGTGGAAAAGGGACCAGATGGTGCGTGCATTTTTTGATGGAAAGGAAGATAGAAAAGAGCGAAACGAGAATTGAGCGAACTGGCATGGTCGGCAGGCTGGAAGATTGATGAGAGAGGCGAGAGATGTGACAACAAGTGAAAAGGGAAACGGGAGTGCGATGATTGATAAATGACCAACAGGGAAAAGAGAAGAAGCGAGCATTGTGTTTGGGACACGACAGACAGATAGGAAGAGTGACAGAGGTAGAGCAAATAAAGACACAAATTTAGATCAACAAGCGGAACAAGGAACAAAGAGGGAGAACACAAGAGACAAGTAGTCATAAAAAAACACACACACACACAAACTCACAAACAAACACATTCAACGACGAAGTCAATGTCGAATTACGAAGGTGCTGCAAGTGGTGGACGAGCTCGAAAGCTAGAGCATGAAACGATAGATATCTGGAATGGAACTCTTCACTTCCCCTTTAAAGTCTGCACGACAAAGTGTTTCAGTCGAGCACGCTTCCCCCTCCGAACAGGTTCCACCGGAGCATAATCAGCAAGCCCCATCACAGCAGGAAGAACGGTCTGATTCCTTCCGGGCGAAACAACACCAAGCTCCCGTTCACGCGACGTGCTACTCAGTGGATCATGCAACGTGAATTGCTGATGATTCAATGGCGCAGGAGACCGAATACGATCAGAGACTCCGTACGACCCACCGCTATCCTCAGAATAGCCCCGCACTGCATTACGCGAATACGAATGAGTGGAGAACGCATGAGAGTGAGTAGACCCAGTAGGCGAAGTAGGCGAAGTAGGTGAATGAGGCTCATCCCCCAGACGAGTAGATCTTCTCAGCGAAGAAAGTATACTCGTCGGCGACTCAGTGGGCGTGGGGAGTGTGCGTATGATCTCAATATCCCCGCCCCCACCTTGGCCCAATCTAGGTTCGGTCCGGCTTCGAAGCTGTCCAAACTCATCCCGTAACCCATCAATGCCACTATCACCCTCTTCCCCAATATCATCATCACCTTCATCATCGTAATCAAACAGATCGCCCTTCGCATTACGCTTCACAAGGCTCGCTTCAAGGGAGCGTTTGTGTTGCAACGATGACATATTAGCAATGGGGCGATGACCAGTTCGGCTGCGCTGACTTTGTTGTTGTCGTCCGGAGCGGAGCGGCGAATCAAAGGGGGAGGTGAACTGAAGTTGAGCACCGGGTGGGGTCCCGACACTCGTGCCAATAGACGGACTCCGACGATGAGTCGATGCATGTTCAAGACTCGAAGCACGATTAAGACCTCGAACAGGCCGTCCACCACGTCCCTTCAACCGAGAAGGGGAACCCAGTCCCAGATCCAGTCCTATACCTCTTAAAGAGGCCACCGAACTCTCGCCGTCCGTCTCTGCCCTATGGGCGCCAATTGTATCGATTTTCACATCTTTCTGAGTCTCGCCGCTCACGAACCGACGTTCAAGCTGAACAGCCTGCCCGTATGCCTCAAGCTGCTCTGCTAGACTCGACTTCCTCCCACCAAGAGGGCTGTGCCCTTCCGAGCCACTCGTAAACTCGCTAGCGAGCGCCAAAATATCCTCCTCGGCTTTCTGCCTCAACCTTTCCGCATCCGCACGACTCGTCACGTTTCTCAGCTCCTCTACTGACACAACGAGCCTCGCAGCACCCTCATCCCTATCTGCAACCCCTTCCCCTTCCTCTTTCAGCGATGGTCCAACAGATTGCGGGGACGCCACAGGATCACCCTTTGCTCTCACAGAAGGAGCGGTAAGCATGGTATCGGCCGTCGAAGAAGTTGAAAGTGAACTCTGAGACTGAGCATTATTCGCGCTACCATCGCTCATGGAAGATAACGAATCGCCTCTATTCCGTCCAGTATCTTCAGCGGGCACGAGTCCCAACGCTTGAGCAATAAGATGCGTCCGTCTGTCCTCGTCGGTCTTCTTCGGGACGGGCGTAATTATAGGAACTCCAGGAGGACGTGCGGTGACATCACTGGCGCCACCAGACAGCACAGTATCACCATCCACATCGTCCTCAATAACCTCCGGTACTTCCCCAATTCCATCATGTTGCCTTCTCCCCTCACCCATACCCGAGGAGGTCGATGAGGATGCACGATGGATCGAACGTGGAAGTGATGGAAGTGATAAAATCATCGAAGGAGCAACAACGTCTGTGAACCTCAAGGCACGTCCAGATTGCGACGAGGCACGACGTTGATGATGATGTAGACCCCGAGGCGCTGTACCAACCGCTGACGCTGACGAAGGCGCTGACGGAGGCGCGGGCGAATCAACCTCAAACATAACGGACCGCGGCGAAACTGGAGGCGATAACGATTTGGTCTGTTTTTGTACTTCATCCCGTTGCTGTTGCTGCAGCAAAGGACTCTCACTGCCATCAGAAGCACCGGGTGAGGCGAGGAACGACTCTGACGCCAAAGGACTCGACACTGCAACCTCGGATGCCTTACGAGTCCGATTCCAATGTGTGAGACCTGAAGGGAGTTTCGGGGGACTGATTGATACGATGCGGGTATCTGTCGTACCCAAGTCCCCTAATAGGAGTGGGAGCGGCGCAGGTGACGTCCTAAGAGGAACAGCAGCCACCGCCACACCAGCAGTAGGTGTGACGATGGGGTGCTCAGGAGGATTAGATGGCGGTAATGATTGTCCTGAATCCGAAGTAGGCGTAGGAGGCATAGGAGTTTGTAGCGACAGTTCTGACGACGCCGCAGGCTGTATCGAACGCGTAGGCAACGGGGGAGTAGACGGCCCACTATCACCAGTATCGCTATACTTCCTGAATAGATTCCTGAAGCTATATTTGGACCCCATCTTACGAACAGAGGGAGTTGACGTAGTGACCTCACTCTGTTGGGATGACAACCTCGCGGTATCACCTTCTGCTAGCGATGAGACTACAGAGCGCTGATATGATCCATTATCATTAAGCTGACCGCGATGCTCAGGTTTATCAGCGTCTTCTCCAGCAGAACTAGGCCGCTTCACTTTGCGTGACCTGGAGGATGACTTGCTTGTCCCTAGGAGGGCAGGAAGAGAAGGCCTTCTAAGCGTCAGGAGGTCTTGATCCATGGCTGAGGTCTCATTGCTAAGAGCACGAAGGTCTTGGGATGTACTCATCTTGCGGGGAGCCCATAAAGGTGGAGGAACTGTGGAAGAAGTGAGTGGGAAAGGGGGTGGTGATGCTGCCAGCAGGTGCTGCCGTTGTACCGCATCAGAGGCAGACGGGACATTAGCCTGGGTAGCTGTCATATTCGGTAACAAAGGGGGTTGGTGAGAAAGGGGATCGTCTAGCTCTTCCCCCGGAGAAGTACGGCGTGAAAATGCACCTAATGGAATTCTCCCAGAGAGTGCATTATCAATTGATCGTTGCATCTTGAGGATTCGGCAACGAGTGGGGGAGGAGGGTGACGGTTGAGGAGGGGGGAGCCATTCGAAGTGGATGCAACGGGCTCAGGAACCCAGTTGCGAAGGAGATCGGCGATAGCTTGCTGGCGATGTTCCAGAGCAACGTCTTCGGGAGTGATTCCATACTTGTCAGCACGGGAGGGGTCAGCCCCGTGAGATAAAAGAATGCGAACGATATTGATATGACCATTCGCAGCGGCAAAATGAAGGGCAGTTGAGCCTGTTATGTCGAGCACGGATAGGAGATATTGAACGGTTGACAGATGAGTCATCAGACGGAGGGAATAGGCGTCCCATGAGTTTATTGCAAAGACTCACCTGAGGTGCCAACGGTATTGTTGCCAACTTTGGACTTGTCACCACCACTCAACTTGCGTGGTAATCTCTGTAAAATAGAGTGATGAAGATCACCATTAATGGGAGAATAAAATGAGTGATCACTGCCACGACATGATCATTGCAGATTTGCCATCAGTGCACTCACAGCAGCATTGACGTCGGCACCATGATTCAAAATGAGGTTGAGGACTTGTTCACTCCCACTGGCGGCAGCCGCATGGATGGGTAATATACCATCAAGGACGCTGTTGGCCGGTTGCCCATGAGTGAGAGCATATTCGACGAGCGCTGTAAATGAATGGGATGATCAGAGAGATGCGACGCATCAAGGGGTGAATGAGTTAGGGAACTGACCGATGTTCCCCTTGCTGGCTGCGCTGTGCAGATTGAGATCTGGATCTGTATAGCGAAGCGGATGAGAAAGTGTTTGAAAGGGGAGAGAGAGAAAAGAGAGGCAACTTACAATCGACCACGACACCAAGCTTGCTGAGTTTGTCAGCTTTTCTTGCAGATGGAGTGAGGAGCATAGGGAGATAACGGGAGAGGGAAGGACAGCAAAGGAGACGATTTTGAAGGGGGAAGTGTGACGAGTGGGTGATATGCTCAGGTCATCCAGACTGAAGAGAAAAAAAAAAGGATGAATGGCCGCTTTTGAGGATTCGAGATTGTTGGGGAGGTTACTGAATCAGGGCGAGCAGGGCACAGGGTCGGGTCGATAGCAGCAGACTTCGGCTTTGGAGAGAAGGAAGAGCGGGGGAGTGAAAAGAGAAAGATGAGAAGGGGGGTTGTTAATGGAAGAGAGGAGAAAGGGTAAGTGGGTTGCGGGTGGTGGTGGTGGTGGTCTATCCTAGTGGATGATGGTTGGAGATGGGAGAGGAAGGGAGGCAATGTTCTTGGTTGTATTGTCCGTCCCCGACATTCAATTCAAATCTAACCTATAATAAGAAAAATTGCAAACAAAAAAGAAAAAAGGCGGGCACTATTCCGGTACAACTAACTCGTCTCAGATAAGAAGGACAATTGCGAGGAATGTCTGTCATCGTCTCAAACAACCAAGAAGAAACGAATCCTTTTTTTTTTCTTTTTCTTTTCTTTTATTTTTATTTTTCATTTGCGGCGTTGACACGATACAAAATTACATCACGGGAGCTACATTACTGGCCCAACGACCGCAAACTACCCGTTGCTGACCATCATCGATTGGCAGTGCTCATTTGTGGCTGCCGTCGACGGGCCCGTTGGCCACAACATGATGATTACCACACACCGCACTTTCGCATCTTCGGATGACTATCTCCGGTCCTTAACAAGCAACCGATATTCGGCCTCGGCTGTGCACTCACCATTGAGCGCTTGCATGGACACCTTGACGCTATCCATGACTACAATATGCATATACAGATCACCGCCGCGCGGACCATGTCGCTTATCAATGCCACGCTAATGTCCTTGGCGAAATGGACGTCCACGCGCATTATTTCATCCACTTGTTCATATCCAACACTCCGCCATTCGACATGTTGAGATACATAGAAGAAAAAAATTAACCCTCACTTTGTGCGGAATGGAACATGCGATAAGATGACGATCATGTAAATGCGTGGAATTGTGAAAAAAAAAGCTCTTCATATGACCCTGTGATCGACCCTTATATGCCTGCTCATCTGACTGACGAGCTGGAACGTATCCCAACTCGCCCGCGAACCTGAAAATTCCGCGATAGAATCACTCGAATGCCCAATATTATATTGTGGTTTGCAGGGACACATATGTACAACTCTCCAAGATTGGTTGATACCCGAAGCCCGCACCGCGATAACGGAATTTCCTACTTCCAACCCATGCGAGTCCCCGGGGCGCCTTTGAGTCCATGCTTCGCGTATCATTTTCCACCTCCACAATTTTATATTACTCGTAAACGCCCCCCCACAGATTTTCCAGGCCCCCCAATTCCGATTCGGGTACGTTTGGCTGTGTTGTTGCCAGGCACTGAGGCACAAGAGCTCGGAACGAGGGACATTCCCATATCGGGCGATAGCCTCTTTGCGCCATTCCCTTGAGTGCTTCCCAGTCTTCTTCGAAGGTCCGTTTACTCGCTCGCTCTCCAGGATTGAGCATAGTGGAATACATACACATATTTGCATACTTACATCCATCAGCTCACACAAGTCCTGACGACAAATCAAGCGCGGCAACTGTATATATTACGGATCATGAATACGTGTGATGAGTGTGTTTGCTCTTATTGGGGTAATGACTGTGCAGCAACCAAGATCTATAACGCACATCGGAACCTCGAAGATCGCGCCGAATACGGTTGACATCCAAACAGATTTTCCGCTATATCCAACCCCCCCAAAAAAAATTCAACAACAAAAGAATACCTGGAGCCAATATTCGAACTTCGGTTGTACCACACTCCCATTTGGGACATGGCCGTGCGCATTTGCATTGTCCCAGACCAAATGGTTTTTTTTTCCCTGGCTAGATCGATCCGGCCCAGTGCACGACCAAGACCTCGAAAGTCAACAACACTGGAGATAGTATAGTAAAGATCGATCACCGGCCTAGCTAGATGCATATGGGTTGGCCGGTACCGCGGTCGATTCAAGACAGGTCGATCGATTTCCCAAACGCCCAGTTCAAAAATTTGCAGGACTGGTGTACATGCAATAAATAAAACAACCTCGGAGGCATTTAAAAACAGAAGAGACAAACCACCGAGTTCCCTTACTTTAATATTAACTGAACCTTGTATGCTAGGGCATGAATCCTAGATAAACATCGCATCAGGCGATAGATCAGTCATTCATGCATCCCTGAAAATGCCCGCAGTCGCAAATTATCGGTTCAAACACGGCCAATTTACTGGTATACACGATTAGAAGAGCCGGCCCACACACACACACACATGCATCATCGAAAACATATACACCTCACCTAAGTTGCTCGAAGGTGACACTCGAAAACGAAATTCGAAGGACGCAGTGACTCCGCCCCTTCCATTCTGGCCAATAAAGCCATCATGGCACAGTAGAGTTCGTCTACAGCCCCCGTTGGCACGTCCTTGGAACACCAACACGAGACGAGATAAGTGCTGAAGGCCTTCCATCAAGTGTCGTGTCGGACGGCTAAGGCGGATTTTTGACACTGAGATGTTCGTTGGACAATGAATGCGCGTAGATTCTCGTAAGATACAGGTAGGGAAACTGCCGCTGATTTGATGAAAATACAGATGGCAAGTCACTGGCCAAAGGGGGTTGGTTCGCCATGAGCTTTGCAAGCTTACGACATTCATCTTTGCCAGATGGAAAGGTCTACTGTGAAGATCCTTAACTTCGACATGTTGCAAAACTTGCTAGATGTGGCGAATCCCGCGTTACAGACTTGCGTGCGAATTCCACGCAGACGATCACGGTGCGGAATCAAGATATGCCACAGTGTCAAGGGCTCCAAGAAGAATCCTTAGCATGGTTATCGTTTCATATGTAGATGCTGACCCCTGCTTTGTGAGACCTTTGGAGAATGGTGGAGCAAGGGGGTGATTTGGCTGTGGTGATTGCGAAAAGTCTGATAGAGCAAAACGTCCCAGAGGCGTGTGGTTTCCAAGGCGATGGCTCGCCACCTTGAACAGACAACTCGCACAGACACGCGAAGCCACCCGGCGTTTTCGCACTCCAGCCACTATGTGGGACATATCAGTAATAGAGGATGATCTGCAAAGGTAAATTCGAACATTCGTCGCAACATCTCATCCGGTAATTTATGGAGAGGAATTGATTCGTTGTTCCGAAGAAGGGAATTCCCAGTAAGAGCCATAGCTAGCTGCTCCTCTCGTACCCGCTCCCCCGCTGGACCAAATTTGATCCAGAGTGTAAGAGCGACATTCAAACCACTCCAAGGATAATTCCCTGAACTCTGTCCGAAATTTTGAGGGCAGAAGGAGCAAAGAAATAGCAAATGAGGCAAATCTTCACCTCTCACCAGAAGTAATGCCGTGAACGGCCCCTCCAGATATCCTGGCGAGTCTATTCACATGAGTGACTAGGCAGGATCCCAGCCTCTACTGAAGTAGAATGAGTGGCAGCTTTGGGCCCGCATCTGTCGAATTTCTCGTCACGTGTCCCATCGTTCGAGGATCGATCGCAATTCGATCCTTGCAATCTCGGGCGTCTTGCTCATCACCCTAGAATGCGGGTCGTTCTCATTGGTGTAGGGTGCGCGCTCTTCTTCAGAAACCCTGCAACTCCTATGAATCTAGTGCTCCATTACCAGTGGAGCAACATGCTCAGGAAAGACCACACTGGCCAAGCACCTTCGCAATTGCTTACCGAATAGTTACATTGTGCACCAAGATGTGTGTGAGGTACACTAACTCTGAATTGTATTCTCTGTTGATGTCTTGTTGCAGGATTTTGCACCTGTTTGTACATTTGCGTACAATTCTGGGATCTTTACACTGACCTATTCTCTGATGATCGTGTGCACTCCTCATTTCATCCCGACCACTCTACCACCAGCCCACTGGGGAGATGCCTGTGCATCCAGAATACGGGGTGCCAGACTGGGATGACGCCGCAGGTGCTATCGACTGGCCACGTCTTCGCAGCGCGCTCGCGCATGTGAAAACCACGGGAAAGTTGCCAGATTCACACACTAGCCGTGACCATTTCAACAAGCAAATTCTTGTGCCGATTCGAGAGGGTTCCGTCCCTGGATGGCTTGAAAAATTCCACCGCATCGCAGAGGGAAGCGAGGAGGAAGTCATATATGCCATCGTCGAGGGTTTCTTGCTCTATTGGGACAAAGTCAGTCGTGTTGGCCCATTCACTAAGTCTGTGATCTATGATTCTGAGTTCGAGGTGTATGGTGATCTATAGGAGATCATGGATCAGATAGACGTTCGCATAATGCTGCGTGCACCTCACGACACTTTGAAGCAACGACGTGTGGGTGAACGAAGAGAATATATTACAACCGGTAAGTTCGTTTGTTTACACAGCTCAGGATCTCCCTCCACATCCATGCAACCTCCATTTCTGTCTCCCTCACTCTCATATGCACTCATTCGCTATTTAATCGAGTTTCGACGGGTTCAGAAGGAGATTTGTGGCAGGACCCCCCCGGTTACTGGGACCAAATCGTCTATCCCGCATATGTCCGCTCACACACAGACATGTTTACGGGCGGGGACGTAGAGAAAGGGGATTTGAAGGCAGAGTTAAGAGACCAAATATTCTTATTAAATGGGATATCTAACAGCATGCAAGAATTGCTGGACAGGAGCTGCCAGGCCGTAGTGGATTACGTCCAGCCAGTGTTGTTTAATCGACAAGATTAAAAAGGCATAACTCTTCAAATGAAACCTGAGAGATGTAGCCCATCTAATCGCCTTTGGCTGCCACAAAAACAAACAAGCAATAGTTATAACTGCTTTAGATATTTAATCTTAATCGGTCGACTTAGAATAAAAGCAACACTGCGTGTTTTCTGCTCGGGTGCATGGATGTAATTTGCATAATGAGTGTGCATTAGCCCCGACCAGCATGAGAAGAGGCGCGCAGTGACAAGGCGTCGGGGACGTTGGACTGCGTGCATGCTTTTCATTGATTGAAATGAAGGACTATCATCCAGTCAGCAAGGAGGACAGGAGTTTTCTGCACCAGACCGGGCGAATGCCTAAATCAATCTCTGGCAGAAGAGCTGCAGTGGTCGAGATCCATGGGCAAGCTCGCTTGGGTTCAAGCGTTAAGAGATTCTGGTAGTAGTTCTGGATATTTATCCTGCAGACTATTCTGGTAGTGTTTTGAGACGGTTTTGAGTTGAAGAGATTACGTAATAGACGGGCATTCGCAGCGTTCAGGGAGCGCTGCATTGGTGGTGAAAGTGACACCGGCGAGCGTTGAATCCCCCCAAGCGAGCGGGACAGCCTGTGGGGGGATTTCTTTTTGACCTCACATTTCTTCCCCACTCTAGGCAGTAATATGTAACTGTCATGCCAAACTCCATACAGCCCGTGAGCTTCCGTTAATTTCCCTGAATGCATCAGCACAAGCTTTGTCTGCCATTAGGTACTCTTGGCTAGCTGGGCATCTTTTTCCGGAGGTTACCTGTCGGATCGCTTCTCTCGGAAATGCACAATTTCACTTGGAGCACCTATTTACCGCCACCAGCGTCCTTCAATTATTTTGTCTGTCACGCTACTTCGATACCCCAATTCCTTTTCGTGATGCGTTTCATCCATGGCGGAAAGTTCATTCGCGGCTGTCCTTTCGCTTGGAATGCTTCATTCAACTTTAGTTCCATACTCACCTTGATGGTTGGTTCATTACAATCGTGTTGAGGAAGCATTCACTAGAGGCAACAGCGCCGAGAAAGAAGGGCTTCTTGCGAGGCTCGCACACTCCGGAAGTGATCAGCGAGGACACGCAATCATTGTTGAGTTTCAAACCAGCTTCGGATTGTTTGTACGCCCAGCATTACTTTCCGTTCTCACAACAAGGTCCGGTAGTTGTTAGGCGTGCCACAGTTATCTGGTATTGATGGGGAGTAGGTGCCGCATTTTACCACTCCGGACGCAATCATCGTTGATATATGTAGCTATTCTCTTCACCCAAATTGATGAATTCTCTACTTTTACTCGTTCCCCCTTTATCTTCTGCCTAAGGCTTCGATCACGACAAGCAAGTTTAATGGCGAGTGGCGGGTCAACGTCATGTACGTTTCTCGCAACTGCATGCATTCAAGTAATCACCATGACCGCCCGCCAATCCCAGATGCACTATACCAACTCAGATGGACCGTTGGGAACACCGTCCGACTATGGCTACGGTTGTTTGCGTGCTAGGTCTTGGGTTTCTGAGGCCGGTTCCGGATGACATCTTTCGCGTGTCTCACTTGTATGCCCTCAGGTTGGCACCCGGTTATGAAAACCAGTAATCCCCCAACACCCAGCAGGTTATCTGCTCTCCCCAATCATTTCGCGATGTACCTCTGGCCGAAGTTCAACTACTGTTAACGTATGCCGAGTGGATGCTTTGGCAGAGTTCTTTTTGTTTGATCTATTTCCCCTTTGCTTTCCTTCTCTTTGCCACTCAACCTCTTCATGCGACGGGCGCGTTGCTAGGGAATTTCTGGAACATCTCTCCATAAGTTCTTTTCACGAGTTTGAGGCGAGAGTACTTTGCTCGTTGCCTTTAATTGCGCGATTGTACTTAACTATGTCGCAGTTCATCGGAACCTAGGTATGGTGGAAATTTAGCTTTAAGTTCTGGGACGTTCGTCCTTCATTTTAAAAATTTTCGTGTTGGTTTTTGTATAACTGCGTTTTTACTTCCACAATGGGTAGTTCTCCCTTGCCCATAAGTCTTGGAGACGGAAATGGTGTCCGGAATGTTTGACATTAATAATCATATCTTAGTGCTAAGACCCAAGCCGGGACCGGCCCTGCGGCCGTCTGCTGGTGTGACTGGCTAGTCCTACTCCGCCGGACCCCCCCTATTTGCTATGTTGTTACATAGCTTGAACGGGTCGATTATATAGTACAGCCAATAACCCCGACAACAAGCCAGAAGGACTCCGTCACCCCGACCACAGCAACCAGTCACCCCTACGTATCGATGCGGGTAACAAAATAGAGTACATACAACAATGGGACAATTATCAAGCTGAACGTGCGGTACCCTTCCGTACGCGCCTGGTCGTAGTGTGAGCATATCATATCCATCGGAGATAGATAATGTCTGGACCTTTGCGTTCAGAGGCACCTAAAAACCTCCACCAGGTTCGGCACTGGTATCGCAATAGAAGCCCCAGAAATACTTTGTTTGTTGGGTCTGGGCAGACGGTGGATGTAGTTAATGCAGGGATATAATAGCAGACACAAACCCAAAACGAGGCTTCAAGGCTATACAACATGTTTCACCGAACACAAGATTGAACCATTGATGGTTAGTGTATGTCGTGTTGGATTACAAACCCATGATAAGAAAGTTATCTGCTTGACGATTCTTTCATTCGTCCCTGCAACCCCTAGTAATGATACCCCGACTGAAGAGAGAAATCCCAGGAATAGATTGATGATGCGATCGCAGAGTTCCATCCCCATGTAAGGAAGCGGGAGAATCCCTTCGAACCCGGCCCTAGGCTTGCACACTTACAGGAACGGAAAAGCACCAAACCAAAGAGAGCCGACTCAACCGAGAACTCATGACTGTAGTGTCCTTTCTGGGAACACAAATTGATGTCGCCTGCAGTCGGATAGAAGCCCCTATGTTTGGTGCAGTTACGGCGGAAGACTTGTAGTCCCTGTCGATTCTGTAGTTGAATATCTGGTTTCGCCCGAGCAGAAGGACGTCGGGAACACACACAACAACGACTCCAACAGCGCCGATTGGATTTTTTAAACTGATTACAGATGCATACAGGGCCTGCGCCCAGACATTGAGACTTAACGAATGAGAGCACTAGAAGCACAAGGGAGCCTCGCCGGACGCGTTGGTTGTACGGCACTGGGCAGCAACGTCAGAGTGAGTAGGGTGAACGGAAGGGGTTGGTTAAAAGCGGTCAGATTTGCGTTGGGCTTAATTGCAATCATGACGAGCTAGGTGAGACACGGAGGATCCTCGCTGGTGGGTGCGGCCAGCGATTTATCGTCTTGCGGTTGTGTTGTTCTCATTTGAAGGGGAAGCGTCATCAGAACGAGTCTCATCAAGTTATTGTTGGCTACCGCGGGAAGGGGAGTAAAGGCGTGGGTGGCAAAAGCACGCGGTCTCCCATATGGCGAAAGGCGAACGTGAGATACAGGAGGGATGGATGGGCAAGTGAAGAGAACTGAAATTTGAGCTAGATTGTGGACTCATACTCATCTTTTGGCTAAGTCATGGACTGATACCAAGTGAAGTCGAGACGATGGAGGTGGAACACACCGTTCCCGAAGCAAATTGAGCAAACAGAAAGCTGCTTCAATCCGATATCAGTGATGCTGCTAAGGAATTCGTCTTACATTACTTGGCGGTCCTTCGGTGCACGTCCGATAAGTTATCCCTTAGGCATACGCGCTTCTTCGCACCGACAGACCGACAAGAAAGGCATGTAAACACAAAACTTGGGAGGGATTGAATTGAGGTGAGTCATAGGAACGTGACGACTCACCAGGCCAGCCGTCGTTGACTGGACAATACTTGGCTGATCAAGTCTTAAGAGAGACTATATTGCTATAAAGAGATGCAGAGAATGACTAGCCTCCTAGCAGGAGCTACTGCCCTTTTGAGTTTCCCAGGGGCTGGGCTGAACTTCGTTGCTTCCACCAAGACTTTCTCCCTTAGTCTGTTGGGAATAGTCCTCGCATACACACCCGCCAGAGGGCTTGAAAGGTGTACTTTTCGTGCGAGATCTCTTCTTATCTCGGACAAGCGGTGCATGGCCTTTTGGAGGTGCCTGTTTATCGCCGCAGAGTTGCGCCCTCTCCGCTTCCACCTTTAGCATTTAGCACGAAATTTCACTCACTCACTCACAGAACCGTCCTCACCGGTGAAGCCACATGAAGGTATTTTATCGTGCCAAGATGTTAGGCGTGTATGCACACGAAGAATTGAACACCTCTGGTTACGGGTCCCATGGAGTCACCGTCTCTGTAACAGTATCAGGAGACTGTGATAAGCCGTTGAAAAAGATGGTCCCGGTCGAATGCTCACCGATGATGCTGTCCTGTACGAAGCTGCATTCGACAAAGATATTTCCCAGGAATATGGAGTGGCTCAGGTGCGATTGACCACCTTCAAAATCCAATTATACAGAAGACTTTGCTGTGGTGGCCAAAGCACCAAGCACCCAGCGAAAGAGGTGTTGGCGTGATGTGCCTCAGACGCAGTAGATGAAAAACAGGGCCAACTCCATCAACATTTTTTGTGCAATATTAGCGCTATGGCAATGAGGCCTTTATGTGTGGCTGTCGCAATTACTCCCCTGATAGTTGCCGAAAGGTCCTCTGGATATGGCCATCAGTGATTCGAAGGGACTATTCCTATTTTGTTGTTGGTGCTGGTCGATGTGTCTAGATTATCCTGTAGCTTTGGGAAAGTGAGTCCGACGGTCATTGCCGCTCTGCTTTGAGTATCTTCTTTCACTCCAGGTTAATATATCACTCGAGTGGTTTTATACAAACAACTGAGGCTTTGTGGCAGTGATCAAGTGGGTGCGCTGTTGATCCTCTCCAGCCCTTTCACTTCGCTGCCCGAATACGGATGCCGACGTACGCTGAAATAGCGAGTCGCCCAGCCGCACGGCCCCTCTCCGCGACTGCCTTGTGGCCAGACCAGGATGTCCACCCTTCGTGGCGCATCCCGGAAAATGACATAACTATGAGGATCGAACGGTGGAGACGGGAAGTTTATCTCGAGGTCCGGGCCCTTAATACCCAGTCTCAAGTACGAGCAACAGTGTACGTATTTCTAATCTGATTCAACACAGTCCTTTCATGCCACTCCTCAGACTAAAAGACCAATCACTATCCCTCCGCCAACCTTCATAAATACTCCATATCTGATATTGACAATGGCCTATTCACCCTCCATGTCCTTTTTCATGCCGCCTGTCTTCTGCTTCTCATAACACGTAGTACCATGTGCCGTTCCATATGTTTGTAAGGGGCTGCCATGCCTCGACATCCCTTGATGTTAATGTTCATAGCTTGGTTCAGGCAACGCGCGTAGAAATCCAGTTTCGCAAGTTTCGTTACTCGTAGGCTGCGTTGGCGCGTGTGTGCCCGAACCATCGTCACAGGTGGGCCGGAGCTGGACGGACACTTCCATTGCAACAAAGAACCCCCCTGCTTAACTTTCGTTACCCGTGGAATCATTCCCACCCGAGATGATCTCAAGAGGACCTCCAAACATACACTCCGCTTCCTCTCGCTATTCAACCACTCGTGTGCTTGTCTCGGTCATCATGTTCCCCCAAATCTCTCTGATCCCCATATCTGCACGTCAACACTGTGGGCTCGCGTCTAATACCGTGTTCTGCCGTCATCGAGATGCTTTCTTTTTAATCCACCTAGCTTCATTTGTTTCTCCCCCCAATCGTTGTGTGCTTTATTATCCTCCCGAGGAGCCGAGCACAACACCACTTTCGCCTTGATCGATGCATGTGTCCATATCACCTCAAGTTCTCCAATTATAATTGATATGCCAACCTGTCCCAACCATGTAGGGGATGGTCGGTGACCACATTGTCAGATTCACCACCAACAATCTTATTCCCCTTCGCCACTCCGTTGTCGGAACCGATTGTTGATATTACAGCAACCCATTATCCTTGCCATTTGATCGCACTCATACTGCATCAAGGACAGTGTATCTCCGCTATAGGCTCGGCACATTGCAATACTCAAGTGAATTTAAGATTGCCTCTCGTTATATCTGGTGCTTAATTGGTGTGTGAGGCATATCACGAAAGCGATGGAATAAGTTTTGTCTGGTCGCGGCGGTCGGTTGCGCATGAAACGACCTCAGTTAAACAATCCAAATTATAGAAGAATAAAGCAGACACCAAAAGCGAATCACAACCCCACAAGAAAAAAAGAAACGGAATGCCCCGGTGTGTGGCATCTCGAATTCTATTTCTGAAAAGGAAAGTGTCGCGCGTTCGGCCAATCCCTCGGTCACAGCCGCTTATCATGGTCGAACACATGAGAGGCTGGCAACCTGCCTAAAGGTCTGGGCATCTTCGTGGGGCTTGCGTCCGTGCCTCGGACTCCGCTGTAAAACAACTCGACGCTCTGAGTGTGTCCCTTTTGCTCAGGCGGAGCTTTAGCTACAGACTGATGGACTCCTGGATCAAGGCCACCTTTCTCACCGCATCGTACAAACGCCACTGGTCCGCTGAAACAACGGTCAGGTATCCCTTGATGTTTCACTCCAGAGAACCAGCCCTCTTACACAAATTGATTAGCACTTCTATTGCTTCCACGTGGCCCCTTTGAGCTCCTCCACTACTCCCCCTTACCTGTATTCTATAATGATTCCTTGCGTCCTGTTCGTCGGTATGTGCCTTATCGAGGCTTCTTCTTCTTCGCAGGGACAATAACGGCACGAGCTATCTCCTGTATCATTATGAACCGCCTGAAGAGGTGTTTGCCTGTCATAGAGGCGGGGAGTCCTGCCGCATGAAGTTTCTTTGGTGAAACCTCTGTTAGCTTTCGCGATGCATTGATCAGCCATGCGCTTCCTGAGACTAGGATTGTGAGTAGTCGTGAGAGTTTTTGTCTCAGTTTTTCGTTGCAGTTTTTTTATCGAGAACCGGGGGCCGTCATGACGTGTAGATAATCCATGTTTTCCAGTCAATTGATTTTTTCTTAGTTGCTAGAGTTTTTGAAGGTTCTCATATGGTTTTACTTTCATTGCGGGAGCGTTCAAGAAGCAAGTGATTCATATCCTCCTTTTCTCTCATCTTTGGCGCATATGAACGTGCCTATGTTTATATATTGGTACGGTTTGTCGCGTTTATTTTATTAGTATTGATAACCAAATCCTTCATTAGCTGGCTTCTCTTCGTTCATGGTCTCCAGTGTGGTTCCCATCTTGTTGAGGTTGTTCGTGGCGCTTTGGCTTAGCGCGGGCTTTGCCTTATGATCAGCCTATATACCAAGGTTTGCATGAGGCTACTCAGTCTTGCTCCATTGCACAGTCCGTCAAGTCTGCATCGGGGTACTCGTTGCTCTCCGGGCTCTGCGCTGCTGCGAGTTTGTCCAGTCCGCTCCCTCATTTCCTACGGTTCCGGCATGGCCTTTACCCATTCCACTGTAGTTATTCCGGTCCTGTATCTGTGTTCACAGGTTTTTTATGACCACCGGGTGCCCTGCGCACACGTAGCCGGTGCCCCTGGCCTCTGGAGGCCTTCTACAGGGTGTACATACACCAGGTTGAGTCGGTCTCTATGTGTAGTCTTGTATTTGAGGGTGCGACCGTCGCTGCGTAGTTTATCGCTAATATTTCTGCTGCGTTATTTGTTTATCCATACTGCGTTTTTACTGGTTTCCCTTTACTTCGGGGCCGAACCGTACTTGCCTCTGCGTTTGTCTCACCGTTTCGTGAGCATGAGCTATCCGTGCAGGCGACTATGTCTTAGGACTGGCTTGGGTTGTGGGCTCTGTAGTGTCGAACCGAGCATGGAATCTTTCTTTCCTGAAGTTCCTGAAGTCCTTGTGAATCTCATGCATGGTTCCTTGATTCGGGGGGTCCGAAGATTTTATATCACCTCAGCAGTGTCTGCGTATGCACTCTAGGCCTACCTCTGTCCAGTCCTATTGGTGCTTCGTACGCGCTGAAGCTTGGGACGAGGTTTGCGTGTATGTCTCCCGCTAACTTGTAGCATTTTTCAGGTCTGTCGCAGCCCTGTTCTCGGTGTAGCGCGCATGGCTGGCATGTACAGTTTATTCTCGTTGGCCGATGGAGCTCCTCTTCGCTTAGGCTGGACTGAATCACCAGATCCCCTATGAGTTTTCAGGTTTCCTAGGCATTGGGCTAGTCCGGTTCAGCCTTAGGTTTGCGCTGAGGCTTCGAGCATTGATCTTTAGTCCATACCTGGCTCCCGCGTTTGAGACCTTTCCTGGTTCGTGTGTTAGGGTTCTGCTTGTGTATTTCGATTTTATGAAGAGGCTCTGGGCAAAGATGTTTGTGATGCTGGGGTCGCTTTTCTCACGTTCAATTGTCTCTTTTGGTAGTGGTGCCACGATAATTGCTTCGGCCGCGTCTGCTGCCGCTGCCAGGGATCTATTCTGAAATTTGTCCAGTACGTATTAATTCGCCTCACCCCTATCAGTTGGATGGCCTCCCCTATCGCGGCGGGGGGGCGCTCAGCTGGTCCATGCTTATGGGTGGTGATCGTTATTGTTTGTGTGGGTGGTTTTCGATATGCTCCGGCATCCCTTGCGCAATAGGTTAGGAACTGGGTCATACCCCCAATTGCCATTTGTGCCATTAGTCTACCTTCTAGCGTGGGGTAGGCCTTTTTATTCCCATGTTTTCAGTTTGTTGAGACTGTTGCTGGCCAGGCGTCCATTTTCCTTGGGAGATTTCCGCATTGACTAAGTAGCGTGTTGTGTCACCGTCTCTGAGGATTTGTATTTCTTCCTGTATTTTTTCGGAGTTTTCAGGATTTAGTTTTCTGGTGTCCGCGACATTTTTCTGTAATCTTTGAACCCCACCGGAATTTGTCTTTTGGGTAGGCAGGACTCCAGCCTCTATGACTTCTCCTTTGGGGACGAGGTTTCTGGGTCTTTTCCACGTCCAGAAGTAACATACTGAAGACATTTGTTGAACTAGTGGCCCTTTGTTGTTATGGTTATTGTTCTTTTTTATGGGAAGTATTGTTATTCTGACGCTTTGGCCCTTGTTCCTTTGTGCCACACAGAAATGTATATAAGTATATACAATGTGTGAGCTGAGAGCACGATATCTAATGACAATGTGATATCGTGCTCAAATCATGCTTAGCTTAGGATGTCGGGCTGCGATGCCGCGATCCTACACTTGCTATGTGCAACTTGCAAGCCAGGCAATCAGCATGCAAGAAGTTCGCCAATTGATAAACACTTGTCCTTCCACGTGACTTTGTTAATCCTGACATCGACGTCGGACAGTGCTCTACAGATAGTCTCGCTTTCTCTCGGCATGTTCGGAAGACTAGTTCACTACGGCTTTGACGCGCTGCTGATAAGCGCCTTTCTTGCTGGCATTAAACGATCAACTGGATTAACGTGCGTGTTTGTCCGCTGACGGAAACTAGCTCCTGACCTCTCTCGCACATCTGTATCTCCTTATGCTGTGCAGACCGCGACTTTCGAACATCCCAAATAAGGATGTGAGGCGTAAGCCACTTTGTTATGCCAAGAGATACTCTCCAAAGACTGACAATTATCAACAACCTCCAGAACTTTTGAGGTCATACCTCGAAGTTGGAGAGTATGCTTTTGATTTAGCTGTTGTTTTCTTTGGTGTAAGACCTCTCACACACTCTTTGCTTCTTTGCTACGTGGCACTTACTTGACGTCCAACAGCGATCACCATCGTTCGAGCGCTCCCGGAGCGGCTAATTACGTGACCCGCAATAAAGAAAAATCAACTGTTTATAAACCTGTATCTCAGCTTGTATTCGTCTTCTAGCCTCTTCGTGTAATTCGCCCCTCTCTGCATATAGCATACGTGTCTCCTACAGCACACAGTATCAGGCGACCCACATGGGAGAGTTTCTGGATTGAAACGTGGATACATCAACGGCAGGGTGTTGTTTACCCTAAGAAGTTAAACACAAAGAAGTGTAATACAATTGAGCCTACGGTAAAGTCAGCAAATGCCCTGCAATCGATGGTGTGAACATGAATGAGTTCTGTAGCGATTGGACAGAATTCAATAGTGCTAACCGTTGCGAAGATATGGTGTTGAAGTGGGAACGGTTGCTAGGGTTTACTTGGGAGCGTAGTGAAGCTGTGAGGACAAATTGACCAATGGTGCTGGCGAATCTGTAAAGGTGAAAGTGTAAAAACAAAGCTGTAGTAAAGGTTTACGCTACTCACGCAGCCAGGAATGCATTATAAGGGAAGGCAGTAACGAGGACACAATAAGCAAACTGTATGATGCCCGACAGCATAATGAATGCGAGAAACGAATCAATGACTTTGAGATTCGAGGGGGTCGTGTCGAGATAACTGCCCAAGTCGCTTTCAGTGTGAGCTGAATGTTGGTGCTAGGCGAGACTTACTTTCTCCAAAGGGTTAGAATAGCACTAGGCTTCGCCTTTTCAGGCACCTTTTCGGGTATCTTTGCGGGCACTTTTGCAGACGTTCCTTTCGCCATGGACGTGGCCAGTATCTGATTCAAATTGCGTCTCGTGATGCCTAAATCTGGTTCCGGCGCGTTTCCCGTGACTTGGTCTTCATGTGCAGGATATTTCGCGTCTTAGGGCCTCCACGCTGGGGCGCTTCGCCCCGACGGGCGGAAATAGCTTCATCATTTTTTTCTTCTAGGCCTCCATTTTCTCGAAGGTCTTGTCGCCATGTGCACACCGTGCCTAATTTGAGATATGACATTGACGAGGGGATGGGTGACTTCCTATCACCAAAGGCGCTTCGCTTGTTGGCTGTTGAGTATCAGGGAGGTCTTCTCTCCAGACTTAATGATCAGGTAAAAGGTATGGTCCTATTTTTTATGAAGTGCCTAATCGAACGCCTTCCATCCCAGATACACAATATGAGAACCTGAGTGTTTTTACCACAATCGTGAGAACAGCGCAGGACCCAAATCAACCGCTTGCGTTTAACATGGCGAGCCAAGCCATGAACAACAGTTTCTTTCTTGACCACCTCGTGAGCAGCTAGACATGGCCTTTGTTGCACTCGTGTCCTCACTTCAATTTCAGAGACCTCCATCAAAATACAGCCCTTCACAGAACCACGAGCGAATCATGAGTGGGAGGCTGCACCTGGGAGTTGATAGGAGCTTTGGCTCTCTTTCATTACTTAAATCTACCCTGAGCGCGGCAGCAATGGGGATGATTTCCTCCGGGTGGATCTGGCTCGTAACAGACCTACAAAAAAATCTGGCCATCATCCCGACGTACGGAGCAGGAACAATTATTGTTCGGGCTAGAGCACAGAGAACCCCTCGCTCGGGCCCCGTTATCGGTGAAAGTACTCGCCTCTCTTCTCTTGCCTACTCCCCATCCTTCGGCACACCAAACACATTGACACCAACACCGCCTGCATCGCCCCTTTCCTCCCCCTCGCATTCCTCGAAAAGTAGCAACCATGCGAATCCCAACCAAACAAGATCGGTGAACACGTCTGCCAGTGGCTTCACGGGCAATTTAACCCAAGTTGGTAGTGTGCTTAATCCTCTCTTCTGTATCTCACTTCACGAGCATGCCTGGATGACGGACTATGGACTTTGGGGGAAAGAGGAGTATCTGAAGCGGTTTTGGAATGTATTGGATTGGGAGAAGGTCTCTCAGACCTTCGATCATTGGAATCCCCGAATTGATGATGAATGAGGCCAGCATTTGAAACCTTCATGCTTTTCCAGACCCTCCGTACTCAACATTCAATACATTATTATGACGGGTATTAAACACTCACAGATAAATGTTTGTGAGTTTGGGATCGTCATCTGTTTATTGAATTACTTGCTCTATCCCAAGCAAAATACTAATAGTAACGACTTATTAAATGAAGCCGAGTCCATGCCTCGCACCAAATGAGAATACACAGCAAAATGGCAAGATGGGAAAGAAGGGGGATGCCTCAGTGCTGATGGTTTGGTTGTGGATGAATATTATCACCCTCTAGCTCATCCTCATCTTCCTCATCAACAGCGAACAGCTCCTCGCGGTCATCCCATACATCCCGCATTCGTGATGGGTTTCTCGATGTCGGGACGTTCTCTGGTTTCGATTGCTGGCGGTAAAGGGGGAGGGCATGAGCTTCAGATGTGAGACTATCCAGCTCGTCATCTGATATGGCATCCGCGATATCTGCATCGATGGGTTGATATAATCGTGCGATTTCTCGTCGCTTGCGATAATATTTTTCAAGGTAGTATGCAACTGAATCGTTTCAGTGGTGAAATATCCTTTAGGGATAGATTATGTACCTGTGAGCCCACATGAACTCCCAAGGATATTTGCCTAAACAGAATAGCATTGTTCAGTAGGGTAATATGAGTGCGGATAGAATGGTGCTTACAATGATATCCCCTGCTTCAAATTTCCGATACTTACATCTTTCTCAAACAAAAGCCAATTATTGAAGAGGGAGAGGACTACCCACTGGCAACATTGATTGTACAATCTCGCTGAAGATACCTCCCACTAAGAAACAAACACCGAACGTAAAGTTGAGTGCAGAGTAGCGCCAAAACCATACTCGACGCGCATCCCTGATAAATGCTGGATATTTATATCGGCCAAACCAGTGCGCATTACTCACTCGTCTACATCAAATATCCAGTAGAAGACACCCGTTGCGGTGCCCATACATACGAAGTGTAGCACTTTGTCGTTGAATGGGACATGGCTGTTGGAATCAAATATGGGTGAGAGCTATGACGTCGGCAGGAAAATGTCCCACATGGTGGTGAACCCGAGCAATCCTAACAGGGTGAGGATCAGTGCGGTGAAAAATAAGAACCACTACGATGCGCGCTCAGGTGAGTAGTGACTTCTAGGTCATAGTGCTAAGGCGCTGGGGACACACCGGCCGTAATCGTATTGGAAGGTCTGTTCCCTTGAGCAATTTCACTTTGTATGATCTCAGAATAGCTTTCTTGGCGCGTTTGATTCTTGCACGTAGACTAGGGCCGATGCTAATACGTTTGGGATCTTGGGAATCGGAAGACAGTCGGGGCATATTTAACTCAGCAGGGACCGCGGAAAAATGGGCTTCCGAGATAGTTGCTGAGATGAGGATGACTGCCTTTACGCACCACGCTTGAAGTTTGTTAAAGTCGGTAATCACATGACTCTTCCAGATCCCAACATCTGTCAAAAGGCGAAGCTTCGAGGCGGAAGGGCAGATTGGGAGGTCCCCAAGAAACACAGAGATTGCTATCACGGTGCCGAGACCAGTGAAGGGCATTGCAAAAGATTTCTAGACCATTTGTGGGAATTATCTTGAAGAACTTTATTGCCAAGTAAACCATCGACATAAAAAATATGGTATCCTTCCAGTAAGTATTATAATCTGTTTCTCTGTGTGAGTGAAGATTCAATATGTCATAGGTGTGACGGTATGTTTGTTCTGGAAAGCGAGCGGGTTTTGATGCTCATTGCACCCGGGCCACAGGCTGCTCAGACGTGATCAAGAAACCAGCGCTCCAGAAGCACTACGGTGAGGAAAGTTTTTTTTTTTTGCGGGGGCTTCTGCCAATTGTAAACGCACATATTTAGCACGTTGTCACGCTTCAGTGTCCTGTCTAGACTGTTCGCAAACATTCCAGGGTCCTCGTGAATTCATGTCAGCCATACTAGCTTGAAATTTCCCTGTTTCTTCTCTGAGGATATATTCTCTTTAGGTCTCATGTAAGGTGCATCTCTGAAGCGGAGAAATATCAAGGGGCATTGTACAAGGGGCGCAAGCACTCTGTAAGTTGTTGTCGCTTTGTATCAGTACCTGACATAACTGATGTCCCCTCATCTAGGACTCATCTTCGCGTAAAAATGATAATAGAAGTAGCGGGGATAAGCATGAGAAATCTCGAGGTGGGGGTGATGGAGAGGGGCTACTTCAAAGTTGCGAGCCCAGCAGCACCAACACCAAATTTACTGAATCAAAGGCGAAGTCTTATGTGACTCCCCCCAACATCAGCCCTAAACCCACCTCACCGGACCTGAGTCCCACTGAGGATTCTTCGAAGGAGACATACACACAAAACAAACCTCATCAACTCCGTGAAAAGGCTGGTGCTGTCTACTGACACTCTCTCATGGTACGACGTTTTCTGACACGCCTTGCCAGGACGCTGCTACCGACAATTCCGAAACTCTAAAACAGTCAAGCAAGCGCAAAAGGGACAATATTCCTTCAACAAAAGCAACACCCGGATCTGATGGCGTGGAGGCAGTAAAACATAAGAAGAAGAAAAAGGTTGATCATGCTAAATCACCACCCGCTGAGCCCGTCACATCTAGCACGGCGTGCCTTGACCTGGGCAAAGAGGCAATTTCGGAGAAAGCGACTCCAGAGGGAAAGCAAGAGAAGGACCAGCAGGAGAACGGCCGAGCGAACAAACGGCCCAAGAAGTCCCATAAGTATCGGGAACGCCACAAATCGGAATCCACCATGGTCAAGGCGTGAGGTCTCTCTTGCGGGCCTCGCGTGACATGATGTCCTTATTCGTGATTGGGGAACGTTGAATCCTTGTCGTGATCGGACGGACTACTTGATGTTTTATTTGTTTCGGGTTATGATACAAATAGGTTGTGAAATGCACAATTGCGCGAGTCCTAGTCTAGAGAGTACACGAATGCAAACGCTGTCACTCCTATAATGCCGTGGTAGAATCCACTTCGATGGTCGGCACGATGCTGGCGATGAATTTGAGGAACACGACAAGGTACATATCGACTCGCATTCCCTCTGAACTGCCGTTGTTGTTCTGGTCAGCTGCTGGAGTTGACGAATTGCCTCCCCCTGTAACCTTTCGCACCACTCCACCAAACCACCGCTTCTTGCCGTCAGCGCCTTTCCCAGGGGTATTCGCCTTCTGCTCGTCGATAACCCCAGCGTTCATGCGTTCAATAACCTTCTTCATGACGTCTGCATGTTTGCAAGGGTGAACTGAGGCGACTCTGAGCTTAGATGAATGAGGGAAGGGATCGATTGTGACCGTTTTAAAGGCATGATCGGCTGATACATCTTGAAAGACTTGGGAAGGCGTGAGTGGATTACGGGCCTACAGACAAAACCAAGTGAGCAGCCAGAGAATCAAATATGCATCCCAAACTCACCTCGTCATAGCCTAGAAGCCAGATTCGTGGTGTCTGATAGTACTTGTCGTAGGTAATCATGACATCGTACGTCCGTACTTGCAGTAAATTTCCTTTCGCATCTTGGAGCGGTCTATTCATGCCCATCATGTCAGGTAGTACTCAGATGAGGAGCTCCGGTCACTCACTCCACAGCAAGTGGTTTTTGACCTTCGTCCTCTTCTTCGAGACCCTCCTCCTCCATGTCAGGAATGTCGTCGATGTGAGGGGAAGCATTGATATCCAATTTATTCATCGCGGCTGGGAGTCCAGATGCCGGGCCATCGAAATCTGGAATGTCATCTATGTCTCCTATGTGCGCTGCCTCCGAAGGTTCTGGGGATGATCTCTGAGCTTGCAACCGAAATGGGGAAGATAAATACTTACTTCGCCCAGAGTGAGTCTGAACCCATTCCTCTTCTTTGTCATCTGTGCCTTCCTCTGCAAAGGAAAGCATCTTCTCTGCATCCTCATCAGCGTCTGTATATGCTAATGAGGTAGCTCGCCGAGGACACGGCACTAATGGAGCGGTAAATGACCGGCATGTCTGCGAATAGAGTATCGAAGGCACTTACCTGCTCGTGTCATCAGATACTGCTTCTCTGGTGGCAAGAAGTCGCGTGCTTTGGAGGGCTCGCCTTTCTCCCTGGACACGACGATTGGAAATAGTTCATTCAACTGAGCTTTCATCATCAGTAAAAACTCACCACGTCCATAGCGGAAATTTGTAGGTGAGGAAATCCCCAGCCGCAACGAACTCCTCTGATCAAGGGGTATATCAACATGGGCTATCAGTGGGAAGGAAAAGGAGATCGGTAGCACATAAATACCAGGTGTAATGCGACCATGCTCCTTAAATTTGCTCTCTCGGAGAACCTAAGCATCACGAAACTCAGATGTACGCTTTGCAGTCAGTGCCAATGGACTCAACTGGGCTTAGATAGTCACGCACCGCCCAGTACTGCGACTATAAACCAGCGATCAGTTAGAGCGGATAATTAAAAGGGCTTGTATATGAAGTTTGACTCGCCTGAATGGCATGCAAAGACATCGTCGCGACCTGGGTATCAAAATGCGAGATCGACGTTGACAGCGTTCAAGGGATGATCACGTGGGATTTGGAATTAACTGGTTGAGCTCGATGCTTGCTTCGTTTGGTCTCGTAGTGTTCGTGCTGCGAAGCTCACTCTTCCTAACTAATCTGCCTCAATGGCTTGAACATGATGCACAGCTCACCTCCCCTTTCACTGATTTTGTTCATTGTGAGTGATGGAGAATCATCCCTGTCATATGATACTCAAGTCTTGCCAATGTTGGCGCAGTGAGGGAGGGGGTGTACCTTTTTGAAAAAGGGTATGACCCCTACTCTGGCGGCATAGTTCGGCATGTGAGTGGCCGGGTATTTTCGTTGTGGGTCTTCTCATTCATACGCTGTGATAGCCACCATTATATCTGGCTATTTTTTCTACATTATTGCCGCTCAGTACGAGGTTTGCAAGCGCACTATGGGCGATTCTTGATGGTGTAGGTGCATGGCTACTCTTGAAAATATGGAGGATGCGGAGTCGGACGAAGGACACATTCCAAGAGTGCTTGATAGTCTCTGCGTAGGTTGGTTTGTTCCTCGTGTTCCTGGTTAGGGCTCATATGTATGTCAGCTATCTCTTGCATCCTTACATTCTCCTACCGACCCTCGCTTTATCCACATCTACCGTTGACAATACTTTATTCCTAGCGAGTTTATTCTTTGCATCACGAGGTTAGCATAACACAAGGCATTTCTTTTCCATTTTGCGCTCACAATCTTCCTAATGCCTGAAGGCAACAAGTCGACCTCACTCTTGGCCCTCGCGTTTCTAACCTATTCTTCCCTCACCTCCATCCTTCTTGCACCGCCGATATCACTTCTGATCCTCCGTAATCCCACCTCTGCGCTCGCGGACCCATCCATGAGTCGACTGCCGAGGGTAACTTCCATGATGAAGTTACTTGCGGAGTTTCTCTTGTACCTAGCTATACTGGTCGGGCTGTCCACTTATCTGATGGACAGCCCTGCTTGGATATCTCGCACATGGGGTGCCATGTAAGCCAATGAGCCTCGTTACTTTGTCGCCCAATCGTTGATGTCTTTCAGCATTCTACTATCCGACCTCACCCAAACCCCGGACTTTGGTGGTACTTTTTTACAGAGATTTTCGATCATTTTCGACCTTTCTTCCTCGCATGCTTCTCGGTGCGCCGCTCTATTCTGCCATTTTTGCGTTATTGATGCAAGATCACCCAGATGCACTTGATGGTATACCCTGTACCTGTAGTGGTTAAACTAGGGTGAGTGGGTAAGCTTGGCTATGACTCGAAGCTCATGCATCAGCTCTCTTAGTCACGACCCGTTATTCGCTACGTTTATACTGGAGGGGATCATTGCCACTTTCAAGTCATACCCTACACTATCCGATCCGGGGCTCTTTACAGCCATGTATACTCTATTCCCGGAACTACTACCTCGTATGTTGTGGTCCTTTTTCGCGCTCCACTAAATTAACTCCAGTTCAGAATTACGCCATCCCCTACCAACGGTCATGCTTCACATGCACTCTGCGCTCCTCCTCCCTCTCTTCCATCACTTGTGGATGGGCCAGGGTTCTGGAAATGCCAACTTCTTCTACGCTTCAACGCTCGTATTCGGTTTGGCAAACGCTGCTGCCGTTATTGATGCATTAAGGGCAGGACTAAGACTTGGCTACGGTTCTCGCGAAGGTTATGAGCTTGTTCAGCTGTAGGCTTCACTAATGGCGGAACTTGGTTCCCTCTGCGGCTTGGCCTCAAGTCAAGAATAGCCACCCAATGAAAAGAATTTGATTGATGGATCAAGGTTGAATACCTAAGAACTGGAGCTATTGCATCGGACCTCACTCACATGCGCTTTATTCGTTGTCGGCATCCAATATCAAGTCATGCCCTAGCTGTCGGCGAGTACAACGAATTGTCACTATTTGCCATCCCCAGTGTACTGTAAGATTAAATAGCCGTTGTCGGGGACAGCACTGACTGGGGAAAGGAAGAAAAGCAAAAACACAATATACCAATCAAGGTAGAAAGGAGGGTGGTTGCAATTGGGAAGAAATGAATGATCATCAGTGGGTTAAAGTCCAAACAAGCAGTTCAGATACACGTATTAAGATATTGAGTCTGAAGATCAGCGAACGTGATACGCACATAAGCAGTAATGAGAAATTTATGTAGAAAAGAAACGTCTGGCTTACCGGACAGCTCGAATGTAGAGGGTATGAAGGATGGCAATGAAGATGTTGACCAAAATGATGCCAGTGAGATGTGATTAGTATAGTGTGCGGAAGCTTGGGTACTACGTGACTTGAACAGGTTCAACGTGAGGGACGTTCGAAGGTTAGCGTTGATATGAGCGGGGACAAGGAACAGGGAAAGAAAACAGTAAGTGGGAATTAGATGGGGGAGGTCATCGACTGGTAGCAAGGGCGAACCAAAGATAGGGTGACTATGGGAATAAGAGAGGGTGTGCATTGAGGTATCTCGTCGCTGACAAGGTCTTGCTTTAGCCGAAGGGTGGTTGGGGCGCCGCTTCTATGGAACAGTGCCTTCACCGCTCCTAAGCATAGACAACGTTAGGGAAGAAGCTACTTCTGTAGCGGGTGTAGGATCCGGGATTGAGTGGGGATGAGAAGAGCTTGGGGGGATAGAACTAATGGTGTCCTGCTGGAAAAACTCGGTATCACGGAGGGAAGCGGGTGGCGGGTCAACTCGTGAACGGGATCGCGACGGCGAAGGGGAACGAGAACGAAAGGGGGACGGAGATAGTATATGAGGTCTGAAGGATGAATTACTAGGAGGGATAGCTCGAGTTGATGAATGATCGTGCATAATCGTAGAATCTTGATGCAGTTCTGAGCGCCTCGAGAGCGAACTTGACCGCGACCGCGACCGAGATGGCATTGACGACCGTAACTGGTTCGAAGGATGCATCTCAACCCTTTGCTCTTTCTTCGCATAGCTTGTCCCTTCCCTCCTCGACCACCTCCGCCCTCTCCCACTGAGACCACTGAAAATGCTCGCAATGGGACTTGAATTCCCCACTTTCACTCTCACATTTACCTTCCCTTTCCCTTTCCCTTTGCGTCCCCGCTTATCTCCATTCTTTTCCCCGTCCATGCCAACAACTACCTCAGTTACCACATCATCACAAGCACCTCGCTCCGCATCGTCCTCATCTCGCACTACCCCCATCCTCTTCTTCCCGTCTTCCCCACCGATGATGCTATCCGTAGCATCTCCACGAGTAATGGAGAACGCACGGCGTGCATCACTGGTCCGAATGCCCCTCGAAAACCATGATCTCGGGAATGACGATATTTGTCCTGCCGATTCAAAAGAGACATGCCTTCTCCCACTTCCCACCCGTTCCGCCTCCGCATCAACGGCGCCTCCACTCCCACTGGCCCTTCTCCGACCCGCTCTCTTCCTGACGGCGGCCTCAACAGCTTTCCATCTCTGTCTTACCCTCCTGCGTCTTCCATTCCCACCTATACTCTCTTCCTGCTTTATAACAGATGCCGTAACAGCTTTACTACGTCTGCCTACTTCTGTGACGCTATATACCACCAGTGCGTTGACGCAGACATCTGAACCACACGATGTGATGCATATCCAACCGCGTTCTGTGCCCTGGAGGATAGTTAGCACGGTAACGTTTAAGGCCGAAGTGACAAGAGCCACGAGGGATGCGCTAGGAAGGATGGTATAATGTAGACGCATAAGGAAGTGAACACAGCCAAGAGGGTCCGCAGCTTACATGAGAGTACGAGAGGCAACACGCCGGAGTTGAGGAGAAATGATTTTATCCCTCGCCAAGGGATAAATGAATAGTGAGGTGAGTAATACAGTGATGTAACTGCAATAGACGAAGCCAAACCGAATAATCAGCTATCATTATCGTAGATCTCCGATCTCCCCGTCTAATGACAAAAACACTTACACATCATAGCTGAGAAGGAGTAGACTGGACGGCCTTTGCAGTCCAATATAGCACAAATGTTCTGTGTGCCTTACAGGGTATTTGAGGGCGAGGACTGGACAGCTCGCGTACAACGCTAGGGAGAACACGCAGAGGAGATAGATGGGAGATCTCCAGCGCGATGGTGGACGGGAGGGATCTTTCGGTGTGGCCCAGTTGGACCAGACGATCCAGACTCGTTCGGCTGTGTGAAGAGAAATATATGAGATGAATATTCATCGATGAGCAGCAGGGACGATATGAAGGATGACATAAGCTTCCAGTGATGGTTTACTCCATATATGGTCAGATGAGCGGGACGTACTCAGGAAAATGTAGATGAAGAGTTTTGAGCTTGCGTAGAGGAAAACACAAGCAAAGAATGCCATCGTGCAGCTTGTCTTGTTCAGCTCTAGCCCAGCGCCATGGACAAGGACACCACTAAAAAGGATAAAAAGAAGGGAATCCGTAAATGCGCAGATTACGGCGACGCGGGCTATGGAAACGTTGCGCCAGTTGCCGAGGGAAGTGGTGAGGGAGGAGGTACGGGAAGATGCCGTGCGGCGGGCGAGGACGAAGGACAGGGTGCATGCACCTGTACGTGTATTGACGAACCATGCCGGGGATAAGTCATGTTAGCATATCGTAATCAGTAAAGCAGAAACTTGAAGAAAAGTGGGATGTAGTCTGCAATCCTTGCCATTTTCACCAGCCACAGCGCGCGTAAGATGGACAAGATCAAGTTACAACATACAATGTTGAACTGACTCAGTGTTCACATGCGGCCCCACATCGCGTACTAAATAAGGTTGAGCGAGGACTAGGAAATGCTCACTGAAAAAATGTACAACTGAACTGACGACCCTCGTCCATACGTTAGGGAAGAGGGCAGACGTAGAGTTCAACATGGTGACTCGCTCCCCCCCACTGATCCTCTGTCCCACACAGAAATCCCAGGGTGGGATTGTACGGGCCGGAGTTGGTTTCGCAAAGGACTGCCAACAGCAGGAAATGCGGAGGGTAGCAGGTTGCGCTAGCTGGGGCAGAGAGAAACCACAAGCTTAGTTGCCTTTCGTGTCCGAGTCGAGGGGTCACCGTCGGAGTTAAGCGAGATAGAGTGTCTGAGAGTGTATACAGTATATAAAGAATGTTTTTTTGTACTGGGCGATCAGCGAATGGCCGGTGTTTGCCTCCGAGCCTTGCTTTGAGACTGGCATTGGGTTTGATTTCGATGCTGCTCGACAGCGGAATACCAACTCCGGGCATTTCTAATCCTCGCCCGCCATTATCTTATCGCTCTCAAAACCGGAGTTTCAAACTAATCGTTCGCCGTTATTGATGGCTGATGGCTGAGTAGGCAGGTTGCCAGTCTCTATTGGTGTATGAGGATTTGTTGGCGAATACTTGGATTTGAACGTTGCTGTCTGCCGACGTGCAATGGTCTCGCTCACTAATAATATACTGTTTGAATGATTATCAATATTAACCCCGACGTCGAAAAGTGCTGCTGCATTTAATTTTAGCGCTCCGGCTTATCTCCGTGGTGACCACCAACAGACTTGAACTTCAGATCCTACTCACGCCAGGTCGTTCTGAGTATCGAACTGAACCCGAACCGCCAGTCGTGCATACACGAACGTTCACTGACGCGTCTTCGAAGGATAAGGTTAAACTAAACATTGAGCCGATTTCGCTTGTTTGCACCGAGGGGCCAACAATGACTCAGCATTCAAATTAGCCGAGGACTCGCTCTATACTTATTCCTCGACAACTACATAGCTACAATACTTGAAACCTTAGCCGTTCAACGGAGTTGCGATATTGCAAAACCTAGGACCAAAATCAAAGTCAGCCACAATGCGCGTACTCCGCCCTTGAAATGTCTGTGTGCTCGTAAGCTAGATCTCATCTCTGGCTTGAAAGTTAGCGAGCACCATGTTCAAAGCTTCTCACGATCGATCTGTCTTCGATTTAGATGAATGAAAATCTTGGCGTCCAAATGGCTTACATGAACATCGTCCCTCCCACGAAACCTTAGCCCAGGCGCTCCGCGTGAGCGAACGAATAAGCAGTCCATCTGTTGTGTCTCAAAGTCCTGGCATTCGTTGGCCATGGCGGGACCGCGCCTCTGGTCAAATATATACATGCAGTCGAGGACTTGATATGGGTCGAGCGCAGTGGCTTACAGGAAGATGGTCGCAGCCTCCTCATGAATCGGCGTTTCAGTTTTCGATACTGTTCGGAGGCGTGGTTCACAGCGAAGTTCAGGTAACCATGCCCGATCGCTTATTCGATCTGATTGCCGCATACTGGCGAGACAGTTATGGACTTACAAGAGACCCCTATCACGGGCGGTTTTATATCCACATCCCCCCCGTTTGCACCAACTCGTACAAAGTCTCGAGGTGGGTGTTCGCCTTGTACCGGCACGGGTTCTGTTAAATTAGACTAGTCAGATGTTGACGTAGCGCTCAGCGGCTGCACTCCAGTTATATCGTAAGGTGAAACCAAAAGATTCTTATTAAGCCTAGCTTATACTACATCGGAGCTATGCCACAGATCGACGGACACACAGACGCGTCGGGGAGGCGGTGTCAGAATTGCGGGAGGTTAATGTCAACACATGTGGGGTCGGTATCGTGACTTGTATTCCAACAGGTTCCGATACCCATGCCCATGTTCCCATCATTGTTGCTGCTGTACGTATGGGCATCGGCCGCAATCCATCTGCTAGTCCATCGACCCACATTATTATCCTCTCGAGATTTTAAGCCAAGTCGCCCATGCTGTTCTCTACTCTTGAGGTTCTCCCTGCCTGTATATCGAATCCAGAAGCGCCATCACGCCTGTCTTCAATATACATACTGCTTTCGCCATGGATAAGCCCCAAACCTGGTCACGGATCTTCACGTGTCCTTTATGGAAGACTGGGGAAACGCATATTGGGAGCTTGGGAGTTTTCTCGAACAACGAGCTCACATGGAGTATATTCCCTCATGGTTCTGTCGTTCAGAGAATTCCCTACTAGATATAAATGTAGCTCTGTCATGTTCCACAGCATCTGCAGAATGATCTCAGAGAGGTTTTTTGGCCGTACTGGGATCGCTGCCTGTCGCCGGATCTCAAATGGAATCTGATTCCAGGATAATATAATGCCCGAGTTCCTTGCCGATACTGTACATGATTAAGGGGAAAATATCAAGGAATACGCACCCATCTCGGCCTGCCTACTTGTCATTCTCCATCATTTATCCCGAAATTACCGTGCCTGACCATCTGTCTGACTGGCATTCATGGTTGTTCAGTATTTGAATATTCTACAACATTGCTCCGAGGTCGAGGACCTTGAATTGCGGGAGACCTCTCATCATTCTCTCCCCTGAGGCACTTAGGACGACCGGGTCTTTCCGGTTTCTTCTTGAAGTTGCCAAATGTCGTCGGTACGATGTGGGCGTTCTTTTGGCCTAGTTTGGTTTCAATACTCCTCGAATGGATTATACTGATGGGGTAGTCCGATCTCGATCGCCCCTGGAGAAGTTATTCCCCTCTGTTTCTTCCCCATAATGTGGCGAGTATTTATCTTGAAGACGACCATTCGTCGCGGGTAGATGACCCGCTACATGTAGCCTCGGCCACGCATGTGTATCCGTTGGCACTAATTCTTGTGCGACGACGTGTGAGGCTGATATCGCTTTGCATTTGAACTGAACAGTCAATCAGGACTCATCGCGGTATATACATGTATGCGCGACTCCATTCTCCTGCCACAACATTTACTCTGTTTTCGTGTCGAGTCTCGAGGCGAGCGTTACGATCCATCTTGCGATGACATGGATTCTGACGAACTTGCCCCACACAATCAGCACCACTATGAGCGGTCCAATTACCTATCCAGCGACCCATATCTACCACCTCCCGGACGAAATTTTGAACAAAATTCTCGTCTTTGCTGTCCTTGGTTGTTCGAACTCTTTGCTCCCCTTGGACATCGTGTCCAGAAACGCCATCACATCGGTCTCCAAGCTATGGCATTCGTTGGCAATTGATGAGCCCCGAATCTGGTCACGGATTTGCATGAACCACATTTATAGTCGTGAGGATTGGAGAAAGGCACTTCGGGGATTTGGGGCCCAGCCAGGGATGCATCCAAAAAATCAGGCTTACTTGGAACGTCTCCCCATATGGTTCTCTCGTTCAAAGGACCTTCTGCTGGACGTAACCATCACTTTCACGAATGCATCAGAGGGTGTGCAGAATGATGTAAAAAAGGTGGCTTGGCCGTATCTGGGTCGTTGCCGATCGTTGAACGTATCCTTTTATCTGGATTCATCGATGGCGGGTTCGGGCTTCATGGTCGATAATACCTTTACATGGTTCCCACTGCCCAACATGCCCCATCTCGATGTTCTAAGTATTTGCCTAGTGTCGGGGGGACGATATCAGGGAACACGAATCCATCTTGGTCCACCTCTCACTTTGCGCCAGTTTGAACTCACCGGAGACACGTATCCTATCTTTGATTCGGAAATCACGGCTGTTGACCATCTGAGTCTAACCGATCTTAATGGCCATTCCGTGTTCAAGGCCCTGCAACATTGTCCCGATGTGAGGCAACTTACCTTGCAACGGACCGAACGCCCTTCGCCACCCTTCCCTCCACATCTATCATTCCCCTCTCTTGAGGTACTTAAGGTTACCAGCTCCTTGCAATTTCCTATCGAGGCTGCCCCGAACCTTAAGCATCTAGATTGCTTCAGTTGTCACGACCCGCATCAAACGTACGAACTTGTTCGTGATTACGAGCAATGCTTCTCGAATCTCGAAATATTCGCCTTCTGCGGCCTCACTGTGGATACTCTGCGGAGTATTGGAAATCAATCCTTCATTCGCTCTGAAAATCTCAAAGCGATCATATCGTCATGGGGCTCGGATCCAAGAACGGTCATTGAATTCTTTAGCCTACCTATCAGTCCAGATGCATCTTATTCTCCCATGACTTTAACCGAGGGTTCGGTGGACCGGCCCTTCCCCGCTCTCAAATTACTTGTCATTGATGATATCGACTTTGACCTCTCAGTTTGGCATTCATCCTCTGGATCACTGGTTGATAATTTAGAAGGCATGCTCGGAGCTCGGCCGGAACTGGTTTTGTATTGTGTATCCCCAAACCCCCGCAAAGCCGTGACAAGCACTGTCTTAGAATTTGCTCGCCGTATGGGTGGGCGCTTCGTCATCACTCACTCCCGTCCTCATTTAGACGCTGATGAATCTGTGGAACAGTGCATATGGCGATTCACGTAAGTGTGATCCTTGACCCATATCAGCATAATAGTCATTTTGCTCTCCCTTCATCTAGTCATGGACGTTTACAATTTGGAAATTAGTTATAGAGAGAATAAGGAGTGTTTGGTGTGGGTTCCTGTAATTGGAAAGCGAAGAGGCTCAAATCAATCCAAAATGACATCAGTCCGTCGTTGCATCTTCGAGCTCGGCATGGCACACGTAGTGAAAGCAGTCGCATGGAGCAAATAAAGATAAGGAACGGACCAGAACACGAGTTCACTTTGGTTCTTGTGGGTTGGAAAGGGGGGGGGGGTAAGGGGTCTGAATTTGGTACTTCAAAGTGTTTCACGCTAAGGGTCATCTGCCAGCCATCCGGACAAATGTGCGTACACACGGGGTTCACTGACTGGGAATCATCCTAATGATATCCTATTGCCGTAAGTACAAGCAAGGTTTTCTGTCTTCGCCAACCACCCTATCATTCCAATCGCCAGCGCTGCCTCCACGCCTGATTCCGACCCGGACTTAATTCCCTCTTAGTCGTTGGGAACTGGGGTGAATCATTCAAGGTCGCTCGACCTGTGGGATAGTTCTCTTCGAGCAATTGACCAAACGTTGTCTTTCCATCACCCGATTTTGTACCAAGTTCATAAGTTCAAATATCATTTTGGAAAACAAATGTACGGAATGTACATCTGCGTTGCGGTGATTGAGCACCGACGTGAGATATGAGAATGATGTGGAGATGTGGAAACAAGGCGCGGGGGACCCATCTGGTTGGTATGGGGCATCTTCAGAGCTATGGCCGAGGCAACTGGATCCGCGCAGCAGTTCATATGACGATTCACATATGTGTGATCCTTAACCCATATCAACCTAATGTGTGCTAAATATTGCCGTACACTCCCTTCATCAAGCCATGGACGTTTACAATCATGAAATCAATTGTAGAGAGAAGAGTGTTCCTGCGGTTGGAAGGAGAAGAACAGACAGTAGCTGCAGATCAAACGGAAATCACGTCATATTCGAGCTCGGCCTTCCCCCCCACTATATCCCCTCGAGATCTCCCTCCTTCCGTTTCTCCTCTCGTCTGGCGCACATACGTAGTGAAAGCAGCTGATGGTTCCACGGAAGGAAAAGGATTTATGACAAAGACCACACCCATTAAGCGATGAATGTGTTGTTGCGAGACTGATTGTAACAGTGGGGAGCCAGGAATGGAAGGTTGGATCAAAACTGTGATGATTTGAACAAAGTATAGCAAACAAGGACTCAGGACGAGCACAGCTGCAACGTAATGATACAGCAACCGTTAGTACACTGTATAATCTTGTTTGCAAGGAGGAAACTACATACCGCCTTCTGGATAATCTCCTGAAGCTGTCTACGAACTTCTAGGGCGTGGGGGGAAGAGCAATGAAACGGCGGTCCTCACGATGTCCAACTTCTCGGAGGCGCGTGGCAAACTCGGGACACCCATTTTTTATGTCCGCCACGCACATAATCACATCCGGCCGGGCATTGAGCAGGTTCAGTGATGCATCGTTGAAGTTTTGTTGGAGAGATCTTTGCAGCCTACTGGATCGTCCCCATGGAGTGCGGAACTCTATAAACATTAGCTTCAGCGCTGGGAAGGGCATCCACCACTTCATGGATCCCATAGCAGTTGTTCAAGTTGGCCTTCGGACCACCGCCCCCCATTCTTTGGGTTGGTCTCCGCCTCCCAATTTTCCATCACGTGTGATACTTTCTCACATCCGTTGGCACGCGTCGCACAAAGCAGCAGGAATAAGGTAAAGAAGAACATATCATAGGTAAAGGAATGAGAAAATAAAATGCTTTTGTATTGTGGCAACGGGATGATCAACTAGGATTGGGAATGTAAAGGCTATCTTCCAACATTTTCATCACCTCCCCCCCGTCGAGCAACATTGGATCCTCACAATCATCAAAAAGTACTTCGTATTGGACCGATTTATCTCTCTTCCTGTGGTATCCAATAATCTCATACATCCCAGATCCATCTGAATCGTGTGAGAGGACGAATTGCTTCCCGTGCAGTTCATCCGGATTCTGAAACAGTTGGCGCTCTTCGGGTGTAAGACGTCTTGGCTCAGCTGATGGCTTTGAGAGAGGTTGCTCGGGGTCGTCAGTGGGAGAGGGAGTAGAGTTCACAGGTCGCCTGTAAAACCACATTAAGTTATCATTAAGGTGTAGACAAGATGCAGGCCAGGTGACTCACGATAATTCCTGATGCCTTTTGATGATCGCCGACTGCACACTATCAGATTGTTTTCCAAACTTGCAAAACAGGAGGCACATGAGACCTCCATGAGCGGCATATGCGATTTTAACACGACTGCACAGTCGTCAGGTAAGTAACAAGGACAAAAGATGATTTACAAACTCAACTCATCAAAATTCTGTGGCACGAACTGACATATCTCGTCACAACGTGCAAGATATTCGTCGACTTCGTCCGCTGCAGGTAGCCATCGTTGGTTGGGTTTAGCAACAAGCGGTGACTCCTTGAACTTTGCTTGCGCCGCGCAGGACCTCGGTAAATCAGTTCTAAGCACTGCAGACTGTTCCATTAAGATAAGCTCGTATCTGAACTGTTCTTGAGCCATGCATTCAATGAACGTGATTGTAGCCGAATCATGAGGCATTGTTTTAAGATCTTGTGTGCACGCAGGAGGAGACGCAACAGATAAGCGGGGCAACAGTCCCGGCAAATGCCAAAACCTCTGGAATTGAAGACGACCCGGGAATTGAAGATGACCCGGCTAATGTATAATAGGCAGGAGATCGGGGAAGGAGGAGGGTTACGCAAAAACGAGGACAACGATGGGAAAAGCAGAGGTTACAGAGAACAAGGAAACAACCGAAAAAACGAAACCTAGAAAAACCTGAGTAAGCAATCGGGATCCCACCCACCGAGAGTAACCGGGCAATGCTCTGTTCATCCTCTTGCCCGAATCCGCTGGAAAATCCCCCGCCCCCTTATCGGTAATGGATGATATGGTCGCTCTTCTGCACCGAGTTTTCAAACAGAAGGCGCGTGATTGACAGGCCATCGCCTCTAGAGCAGCACCACGCCATACACCAATTAGGCTGGTGGAAAACATGAATTTGCCATTGACAACGACGATACATTATGATCCCCGAGATGCTGTCACAACTTACCATCTGTCTTCTCCGATCTCAACCCGTCGACTTTCACGCACTTGCCCTCATGATGTTCTTTCACCTACATCCACATTATGATTGTGTAAATATATCCTTTCTACGTCCACGTTACTGTCGTCCATTAGGCGCCCATGGAACCCAGCGAAAGTGACAGTTTGTGAGAAATCAACTCGATATGCGTACTTTGTCCACGTCAAGATGCCTCCTCATCAGTATACTATAGTGGTGCTGGAACCACATGCAAACTCAGGTGGGGTGACGAGCATGCGTGGACAACAAGTGGTTTCTGAGGCTCAATGAAGCTGGCCAACGATGACCATATAGCATTACAATCGCGGAGATAGGAGGACTCGTGCGGTTCGCACAGATGTGCGGCGGGGACAGCAAGTAGTTAGTTGGGATCTCTTCGTCCAATCAACACAGTCGATTGGGAGAATGTTCATGGGTTCCAGGTTTCGTCGTGCAGCCTTGCTAGCATGGGCTCGAGAGTAGGCAGTTGTCTGACTCGCCCCTGGTCATGTATAGAGGCAAATTTGCAGACTCGCTCTCCCTCAGATCTCTCCCGCGAGACTGAGGTGAGAACTCCGTATTGATTCAAAATGCTAATATTCTTGTATCACATGTGCCGTAGCCTAGCCAAAGAAGGCTCCAACCTGCCGTCCGAATACCCGTACAACACTTTGGCGGCATTCATGAGAAGCCTAAACAAACGCCAATATAAGGACGAATGGATCTCTCACTGGAACACTGATCCTACACAACAAAAACCATCCACCAACACGACAACTGGCGCGGCCCGCGCACGGTACCTAAACCGAATGCGCGTGATTGATTAGCACTGTGGAGTATAAAGTGCTTGGCTCGAATTGCTGGCCCTACGTCACAAGCGAGTCAAACGCGGCGCCGTATTCTTATCTTTGACGCTATAAAATTATTCCAGAAATAGAATGACGTGCTCGAACTTAGCCTCAGTGACCATACCGACGAGACCCCAAAGCGTATGACGTCCCTCGAGCGCCCATTTGGATCCGAAACATGCGGCGTTGACATAAACCTAATTGATTTTGACACCGTGGAGTAACTCCAATAGCATGCGTAAGCTTCCCGCACCCGTTGAAGACGTCATCGACAACGGCGATTACGCTGTGGTGTCCGGCGCCGTATGACATCACAAAATGCCACATCCGCCCCTCTTCAAACCTTGGCCGGTTGGGGTATATAAACCCGTCCATTTCCCGTTTCCCCCCTCTTTCAACTCCCTCATCCGATTACTACAACCACTACTTGACGACTTGCCAATCACCATCATGTCTGACACTGGACGTCAATCTTTCACCGACAAAGCTGGTGCTGCTCTCAAACCTGACTCTGAGAAGACTACTGGTGGTCCGTAATACTACTTCCTCGCTCTCATCGTGTCCGCCATCCGCATTTCATCGATCTTCACTCCCTCCTTCACAGAACACGTCGGCGACGCTATCAAAGGAGCAGGAGACTCGCTCGCTTCCACCATTCAACCTCAGAATGACAAAAGTTCCTCGCAAAAGATTGGTGACACTCTCTCGAGCAACCAGAACGAGGATCAAAGGACCCTGACTGAGAAGGCCAAAGTGAGCTCGCTCCCTCTGATATGTGTTCCGTGAGGTGGCTTGTTGTGTCTTAACATGATTGTCTTCTTATAGGACACTCTCGGATTGGGGAACAAGTAAACGTTCATGGCTTATCCGTTCGAGACGACGACGAACCATTTCCATTCCTAATCCCCTTCTTTCTTCTTTCACCGCACGTTTAGTCGACCCATTTACTTTCACTCACTTGCCTTCGCGCTTGTTCAATGTGAACGTCTGCGGCGTTGTCATTGTGTAGTAATAGTGTAACATATACTTGATGCGTAGCTAACCTCCATGCGTGTGTTATCGTTGACAAATCGTTCCGACGTACATTGTCCCAATCATCATAATAGACTGTCAAAACCTGTCTCGTCCACGTCAGCCTCTCTGCTTCCCTTTGTTGGGTTCGCAGTTTCCACTAGTAGCACTGGAACGAAGGCTGATAACACACCGATCTAACCATTGGATGCTGCGCGTACACGCACGGAACACCCCTGCGGTGATCTTTCCTTAAAGTGCGGCTCCGTAGGTACGTGTAGAGGCGAATGTGAATCAATGGAGCTTGATGAGTTGGTGAGGTACTCGTGTCGCAAGCGAATGCGCCCAACATCATGAACTCCAGTCTGAAACAAATTGCTAGTGTCATGTTTGCGAACACTTGTTTTGATGTACTGTGAACAACCTAGCATCAATAACACTTTCTGGGACATAAATTCTATTGTGGTAAAGTGCTTGTAAGCGGACATGCAAAGTGGCATGTGTGCTGCTTGGGGATGTCAGGGATATACCGAAGTTGGCCGTATCATACAGAGATAGGGGCACTAGTTGAGGAGAAGGGTCGTTAGTTGGAATCTCTTCGTGTGAGTGACATGAAGCTAAACTTGACTTCTTCGCGCGCGCGCGCGAGACTTATCGCTAGGGCTAGCGGCAGCAAGGAAAAGCAGAGAAGCACGACTAGCCTAAACATGAAATCTTTGCGTGAACTGACAAATGACAATAAACGGAAATTGTTGACAGGATTCCCATATATGGAGATTGTTGGGGGTTGTTTGTTATCTGCAAAGCTGCTCGCCTTCCAGGCTTGCATGCAGCTATTTACCGATGTTTATTAGTGGGATTCGGACCGAGTCGCCCAGTCCTTGATCTCTAGCGCTTTAGGGTCGTTGGAAATGAACGGGGCCAAAAGCTCGCACACTCTCAAGGATATACACGATCTACCTCCAGAGATTATCCGCGAAATTTTCCTGATCGGCCTCGCCAGCAGTAATGCCTACCAAGATATTAAGTATCGAATCGCCATATCGTCCGTCTCCCATCTTTGGCGTTCCTTCGCATTGGAGGAGCCGAGGTTTTGGTCCGACGTCAGTATTTCCCTTAGATGGCCAGTCTCGCGTGTGTATGGGGCGACTGATCAGCAATCGGGAGACGGACCCGATCATGTCGCTGTGCTGAGTCGAGCATCCGTGTGGCTTCGTCGATCGAAGAACGCGCCCCTGCACCTCACTCTGATGTTGTACAATGTGCCCCTCGTGGTGCAGAGGGAGGTCAGGGAATTAGTGGCTCCTCATTTTTACCGGGTCAAGACCCTGTCGCTTCGCCTTCATCAATATGCGTACAACGTCGAATTAAAGAAACTATGGTTACCCCTTCCTGATTCGGTCGGCTCTCTTCGAGCCCTTGAACTTCAATTGCTCATCGGAGACGATTATCCTGATGATCCCATTGAACTGGGACCCCCTCTCACACTGCGTCGGTTCGTTTTCGACACTTGTACGCCTCCGAACCGTATTTTTCTATCCAAATTCGAAGTATCGGAAAAGTTGTCCCTCAACGATGTTTGTTCACAATCTATCATCAACATCTTTGAACGCTGCCCCGACGTGAAGTGCCTCGAATTATCGGGAATTCCCTGTCCGCGATTCTTTATGTATCCACCATCGCCCCAATTTTCCATCATCGATGAGCGCCAACCTGTGCGTTGGTCATTCGCTTCTCTCCACCGGCTTTCTATTCATAAACTTCATCACTCCTTGATCGAAGCTGCTCCAAATCTGAAGCACCTACAGTTTCACGAGATAACACCCGAAATCGTGTGGAAACCCACGTCCGTTGATACTCTGTCGGGTCTTGAAGTGATCCGAGCGCGAGATATGGATCAAATAATCACTCTCGCGTCTGGGTGTTTAGTCTCTTCCCAAAACCTCAAGGCGATCGGATTGTCCCTGCGGTTCCCCCGTCCTGTGTATAACCCTGCACCGCTGTTCTCCCAGTCCGTTGCTCCCTTCCTATCGGAAACTGTGCAGGATGACATTAGAAGCCAGATTTCACGCCCTCCACCGTTTCCTGGATTAAAATTACTCGTCATGGATATCAGCTTGCACAAGAGAGGGATGGTCTGTGTGGATGTGAACGAAAACTCACTTCCTGTGTACGTGGAGAAGCTGCTTCGAATGCGTCCTGGGATGGTATTGGTGTTCCGAGTACCACGATACGTCAAGGAATCTCTGCAGGACCTTTCCAAGCTCATGCCGGATCGATTTGTCATTGATTGCGACCTCATTGAAATGGACGACCTCGTTGAACGCTATATACGCTGATATTTATTGTGAGAGGGAGGCCATCATTTGATGTAGATACCAAATGTATTCTAATAGAAGTTCATGTGCAAACAACATCGCAGTCTCAGTGCCCATGCCTGCTCCACTCCGAGTCTCTTGTTATCGAATGACTGCGCTCATAGTTAGACCCTCTAGGGTTAATTTGGGTTAGTATGATGCGCCTTAGCCAGAGATATTCTGGGGGTGGATATTAAACAGTCTGCGTCTTCTACTATCATGAAATGCTACAATATGCGGCACGAAGTGAGTTCACACATCCGAGGCGGGACTTAAACTGGCCAGTAAATGCCAAGATCAGCGTTTCGCCTTCTTCCGTCCGGGCGTGTCCATTTTGTCATCCTCGCATTTCCACCCTTTTCGCTTTCTGTTACCTCTGTTACTGTCTCGATCCTGTCGGTTAAGGGACCTTGAGCACTCTGATTCCAGCTCAATCAAGCGTTCCTGAGTATGAGCGAGGGCAGCGTGAAGAAGCCTTTTTTCACCAATGCGAATGATGATAGCATTTGTGTTGTTCAACGAGAGAGCAGGTCCTGGGGATGTTGGAATGGAGAATGCCGAATCTGTTAGAAGAGACGGCGGCAGGAGAGAAAGATCGTACTGAGCGAGTGAGAGGAATGTAGGTTTATGGTAAGGGCAAGACAAGCGAAGGACATGGTGCAGCTCACCTCCAGAGACGTCGCATATTCGCTCAATCGTAGTTGTAGAACACGAACAATCAGCTTTGCAACCTCGACCGATTCAATTTTCGGCTTTGGGGGTTTGCTTTTCTCCAAAAGCTTAGTCCACTCAGCATCGGTGAGTAAAAGGAGCCGAACGATGGAGATAAGCCCTTCAGGTAGTATGATATGTGGCTCGTCAGGCGAGGACTCCAAGATGAAAACACTAGGACCGACGAGAAGACGCTCATGAATCAATCCACTGAGGAACATCTGAAGGGGAGACATGGTCACTTACTCGTCGTTGCCTGACTCAAGCCACCAATCGATTCTCTCTTTAACTGACTCATCTACCTTCGGCTTGACCTTGCCATCTATCAGCTCTAAAAAAGCGTTGACTGCAATATTAGCCTTGATTTCCATGATGTCGGCTGGATTTCCCTTCGTGATCAGTGACCATGGCGGCCTCGCCTCATGATACTGTTGGGAGTTCGTGGATGTGGGTATGGGGACGACATCAACGTGACCATAACGGCGGAGAAGGTCAGAGTTTGGTGGGTCGCCATAAGTGTTCCACTTGAAACATTTGTTCATCAGCATTATGGCGAGGAGTTGACTTGAATGGATTCACAATCTCTTCCCCTGCACTTATCTGCTTGGTCGTGATCATTGCAACAAACGTTGGCTCGTAGAAGAGTCGGGCCTGATCGTGAACGAGGTTTTGTACGAGCGGCATTCGATTCGCCGGGTGATAGGTAGTGTTGAAACACTCACGTTGTCGCATCCATAACGTGCGTTCAGCATATCGGCCATTGGAACCATAGAGATATCTGCGGTATCTTCGCCCTCGTCATCGCTATCACTATCCTCTGCTTCCAGGGCATCAGTTCCCTGTTCCGTCTCTTCCGGAGGGCATAAGCTCGATGGTGGATCATCCACCTCCATCGCCGTATCCTCGGCCTCGTTCGTTTTTGATGATCCTGATTGATCGTCGGGTAGAGCGTGTCCTTTGTGCAATTCGTCGTTATCCGAAGGATCTTTGTCTTGCCCGCTCCATTCTTCTACATGAAAACTTCGAGATAAGATGCTACTTCCGAGACGATGGAAATTTTCTAGTGTGAAAAATGCAGCTTTGAGGGGCAAGGAGAACAAGTCTTTGCGAGACTTTGTGGCAATCGTTAAGAAAAAAATTCATGTCAACAGTACTTTGACAAACACACCTCGAGAACGGGAACGATGCGGCTGTGGTATTCAGCCTCAGCTTCTTCTTTCCCGATTTTATCTGCAAGAGGCAGATTAACGTTATCATCGCCTGATTTCCAACACTTACCGAACATCGAGGTGCCCTCCAGCTCCTTCAAGTCCTCTTCGCCCCAAAACATAGGCGTCGAAAACGTATTTGGAAGGATTTCTAACGAGGGCTATCTGTCAATTTCTTGTTAATCACAAAAGCAGTCTACGCTGCTAATCACCACCTACGGAAGTACTCGTTCCACTTTCCTTGGGAACCTTTGGACTCCTCCCACATCATGCAAAGGATCAAGCTCGCCCAACCACTCCCAAGTTTTGACCAAGTTATTTCCCCAATTTCCTTTCGTAGACCACTAGTACGAGTGGACAAAAGAAGATCCCGAGGGATTTTAAACAACGTATGTCCTTGTGGTATATCTCGAAGCGCGTAGACGGAACGTTGCAAGCTTGAGTCGTCACGAAAGCCAACCGCAGATCCATCGAGAACTCCGCCTCTAACCTCAAACCAACTTAGGAAAGTGGCTAGGTCAAGAGTGGCCATTGTGTTCGCGGCTGGCCTCGTTATCACGTGGCAGAGCGGCTATCCCGTTTGGGCACCGAAGAGGGGATCGTCAATATAAGGTGGTGTGTAGCGTCGTATAGGTAGTCTCCGGGATTGGTATCGTCGGGGTTTTGTGTCTGTTTTGGTGGCGCAAGGACTGTCAAAACCTCAGACCGTGGCTGTGTCCAGAGAATGATGGACGACGGCCTCTCAACTATCCTGGAGTATCAGTTATATAAAAGGGAGATTGAGATGGCACGAGCACGTTGAGGAATCATTCGCTAAGAGGTTTCTACAATATCCTAAAATACAGGGATGAATACAAGCTCCGTTGAGCAATTGCTGTGGCACACGATTCCACCTAATAATCATCTTCTCCCCCACCCAAAATCAACCACAACGCCAAGCCCATGGGGTCTAAGATCATACTGCCGCCGAAGGAGTGGCGCAGACGTGGGAAATGGTGTCGGCTCCTCTACTTTCGAATGATTCGTGGGTTCAACAGAATCTGCCACATTCTCTTGTGAAACTGATCGCCGTTCTGACCAACTAGCCAACATTTTCCCGACCTTAAAAATCAGTGATGTGGAAGAGTGAGCCAAAGAACGTTCGGTCTCTGGCGAGGTCAGTGATGGCTGTGTCGTCGGGGGAGTCGTAGGCCCAACGGGCACATTATCCTGGGAAGTTGGTGGAGAAGCTTCGTCCCGGGCCTCTTTTTGTCTGAGTTTACGCTCATGGTCGATGCTGAGTAACTGCCAGCGATCGACATCGAAAGGATGGAAGAAATTCGTGGTAGTGAATTCGCACCAACAATGGTCGATTAGACGAACGGTCCCATCGATAATGGGCTCGAGGGAGGGACTAGCCTGGTCGGGAGGTGACTTGGAAAGATTCAGTTCGCCGACAGGAATGGCTTGCCAGTAACAGGATGATTGAGCGAGCGCCACCAGAAGAACAACGCAGTAAACGCTGATCCATTGCCCACATTCGTTAGGGATTTACACGACGGATGAAATTAGAGGCACTGCTCTTACCAGGGTCGAGCTTGTAGAGTCAAGGAGAAGAGGAACGCGACGAGAAAAAGGGGGCTTGCACGAGAAAACGGCAATATCAACAGCGGTAGGTACCTAAATGAACAACACTCAAACTACATCAGATAGTTGTGCTGGCGCCGGGAGGAAAAATAGCATACCACCGGGTGCACCACATGTCCGAACTGATCGAGTCGTGTTGTCTCGACGTCAATACATATAAATAAAGTGTAGGTAGTGACAACTCCACAGCAAAAAATCCTACTACAGTTTGGGACGGAACTTTCCCACACCATTTTCACTCAACATCCAGATTAGAAACACGACTTCAGCGACTGCAACGTCGTTAAACTAGCAGGGTAAGATAACGGAAATAACATGCTCTAAGTACACAATAAACAACAGAAAACAGGCATATGATATGGGAGGGACCATCAGCTGTAAAAACCGGATGAGTCGCTGGCTCTATGTCATATCCGTGCATACCCGATCCCGACCCGACTTCCGGACCTCCTCCTTCTTCACCTCCGGAGTCCTACCCTACCGCTGCCCGTTCCGATACTCACCTCGGACTGAACACCACCCCTCTCACCACCCTCCTACTACTCCTCCTCCTACACCTCCGCTCCTCCCTCACAACACCTCCACCCTTCCGTCATCCTCCTACGCTTCCCCCATCCGCTCCGATACTCACCTTCGGACCTGACAACTCTCCTTTCCGCCACTCCTTCTCTCTTCCCTTTCTCCTCTCTCCTCCCTCTGGTACTCTTCCACCAACCTCCTGCCAAGTTACGACCTTCCACCGCTGTCCCATACTTCGTACTCGGGCACCGCTCGTTGTCAGGGATCGGCCCCTGACCCTGCTGTCAGGGCACCCAACCACACCCCAGAACCACCTTCCCAGACCTCCCCATGCCTACATATCTCTCACAACTTCAGCCCGCATGCGAGCCCGTGGGAAAAGTCACGTGGGTCAAGGTGAGCAACTTGCCTTAACCCATGTGACACCTTTTCCGAGTCGTGGGAACATGCTCGGCTTCTACCCGGAGTCACGTTATGAACTGTACAGTACACTTCCCTTTTATAGTAGCCAAGCGGGGAATAGGGAAACTTACCCTTCTTCTCAACTCAATCCCTGCTTAGTCCCTTCAGTGAGTTTGAGGAGCTGAGGACAGGGTCTAGCACCCAACCACCCGGAACACCACACACACCCAGGCCTGAGGTTGGGCTGTCCCTGATTGAGGACCGAGCCCTGACAGCAGAAGAAGGGTTCAACCTACTTCTATCCCCCCCGATGTCGCTGGAAGATCAGATGGTGGAGCTGACCTGCCAGCTCCAAGATCTCCAGGCCCAACTGGCTGCCCAGACCAGACCCATGGCCCCAGCCCTGGCCCCTACACCCACTCCGGCTCATAAGCCACCCAAAGTAGCCACCCCCACCCCCTTCTCTGGGTCACAAGATGACCTAGACCACTTCAAGGCAGAGTGTGGACTCTACATGAGCATGCGCCATGCCGAGTTTCCAGACGAACACAGCCAAGTCCTGTTTGTCCTGTCATACATGAAAGGAGGGACTGCCGGACTGTGGGCCACCCAACGCATCAACACCCTCCTTGCCCCAGGAGCCCCAGCCATTTCCTTTGATGGCTTTGCAGAGGAACTCGATTCTATGTTTGCAGACCCAAACCGACAAGCCACAGCCCATCAAAAGCTTGCCTCACTCCGACAAGGGAATGAGTCGGTAGATAAACTGATCCAGCAGTTTGAGCTGCACGGCCCAGTGTCATGAATGGGAGATGTTGCTCTGGTGGACCGATTTGAGCATGCCCTTCACCCACGCCTTCGCGAAAACATCTATCACCTCCAGCCCATGCCCATGACATGGGCAGAATGGAAGCGTGAAGCCTCCCTCCTCGACAATCAGTGGCGATGATTCCAAGCCACCCAAGCTCAAGCCCGCCCCCTGGCTGTCAAGCCATCCCCATTCCACTCCCGACCTCCTCCCGGACCCGTTCCCCCTCCCGCTGCATCCACGCCCTCAGCCCCAGCCCCAAAAGTCGGCCCCCAACCCATGGACCTGGACCGCATCTGCCCCCCCAGGACTGAGCAGAGGCGCATTGGACCCTGCTATAACTGTAATCGGCTGGGGCACATAGCCCGAGACTGCCTGAGGCCGAGACCCTATCAGGCCCGGGCCACACTACAAGGGGAGGCCCCTAGGGAGATGACCCGCCTGGCCCCGGAAGACCTCCGGGCGATTGCAGACCTGCTAAAGGACGGCCCCCTCACCCAGGAGCTGGACCGTGCAGAGGAGGAAGCAGGGGAGGAGAGACCTGCTGAGGATTTTCAGGAGGACGACTGGTGAGGGATGTGCCCCGGTTGTCCCCCAGTGTCACTGTACCTGCATGTAGATACCATGGCAATTCCAGGACTACAGCGCAACCTAAGTTACACCGAGTGATCGCTAAGAAAAAAAGAGCCACACCCACAAAACCCTGCAGAGAGAACCCACAATGCGCCTTGGCTGAGGTTGCCATTCCCCCACCTGCGATCTACATACTATCCAAACGCCCTCCCCGGTCCCTCAACCTTCTGGTGAAGCTGACTGCAACCACCTCTCTCGCCTCAGTGACCACCTCTGCCCTCCTAGACTCAGGGGCCACAGGGATGTTTGTCAGTCGTGAATTCGTCCGGAAGCACGGCCTGGAGACTACCCCCCTACCCCAACCAATCCCGGTCCACAATGTGGATGGCACCCCAAATGAGAATGGATCCATCACGGAGGAGGTGGACGCACTCCTTATGTTTAGTCAACACATGGAGCGAGCTCGCTTTGCAGTGACCAACTTGGGGCGCCAGTCAGTCATTATTGGTCACTTGTGGTTGACACACCACAACCCAGAAGTGGACTGGGCCCGACAAAAGGTCATCATGTCCTGCTGCCCACCTGCCTGCCAAAGGCTCAGGGTGGCGCCGATAGCTCCGAAGGAGCCTGACCTCACAGTAGAACCCGGGGATGGACTGTATGCAGCCGTGATTCCCCCAGGATGGGGACATGACCTGAGGGCGACCACCACCCCATCACAGCGGATGGCCCAAAGAGTGCAGGACCCCACCCCAGGGGAAAAGCCTCTCGAGGAGATGGTGCCCGAGTGCTACTGAGACTTCAGGGACATCTTCTCGAAAGAGGCCTTTGACCAGCTACCACTCCGGAAACCCTGGGACCACGCCATTGACCTCATCCCTGAGGCTAAGCTGCCATGAGGAAAGACCTTCCCACTGTCCCCTGCAGAACAAGGAGAGCTTGATGACTTCCTCAGGGAGAACTTGGCAAATGGGCAGATCCGCTGAAGGAGTGGAGCTGGATCACCTTATGTAACCAGTTTCCTACAGTGGGCAACAAAACTGTTCACATGTTTTGCTGTTTTGAAAAGACACACTCATACAGGCTTGGGAAAAATTCTGAAATTCCTGAAAAATTCATAGAAGATGCTCTGACATTTCAAAATGTTGCTTACATCAGCACAGGGTCATACACCCATTTATGGCAATGTAATTGTAAGATGAAGTCAGCTCTAAGGTTGTTTTGTACTTTCCATGCTTTGTTTTGACTGGGGTCTTCCTTATTTGGATGGAAATTGGTCTTCACGATCTGCTGAAGTGTGGATCTTGGTTCTGATGGCCAGTTCCCTTCACATTGCCACCCTCACATGTCTTTAAACATGATGTGGATTTCTATATTCCCATTGTTGGTATAACTTCACAACAGCTGGATCGTTTGGGCTGAAAATTTGCATAACTATAGTTTCCTATTTATCATAATTTCCGTGTAAATTTCGTAGTGTGTTTTAAATATGGATCCTACGTAAACATTGTCTTTTCCCTGAGCCCAGACTTTTGATGTCTGTCAAAAACCTGGATCGTAGGGGAAAATGCGTGAGTCCAAATGCAGGCAGGGCTCAACTAGAGGGGGTCCGAGAGCTCCGGTAGTGAACTGAAGCTTCTCCAGGAAGCCCTGTTCTGCTGGATGGTACAAGAGGCTCTAAGAAGGATGCAGCCTCAGCAACTCGGAGGGAGCGCTGTGCCTCCGTTACATCTCAGTTAGTCCTTGTATTTCATGTGTCTGAGGTATCTTGTAGAAAGGGGTCGGGATTCACTCAGAGGGACTTGGGGTAACATTTTAGTCGGGGTTGGAACTGAGGAAAACTACAGGTTCTAATCTACAGGTATTTATATGGAGGAATGGAAAGGACTTTAGTCAAAGTCCAAATGATAATAGAAAACACCGAAAGGTGCCAAATGATACCTAAAGGTCCCGAACGATATCCTTAATGGGGAACCGAGGTGTCAGGTCAAGGAGGGCGGAGTAAGAGGCCGGAAGATGAATGGGAACGAGAAATGGGTAAGAGGGGGTTAGCCGACTGAATGGTAAGAAGAAGATAGTCGTGCTATGAATGGAAGGTGACTAATAAGTGATGACGTGAGTGGAGTCACCGAAGGATGTGGGTAGCTCCGAAAGCAGAGTTATGTATCCAAAGGATGTTGGGTGACTCCAATAAATGAAATGGGTGGGGAAATGGTTTAGGGGTATGTCATGGGATGTTGGAGGTCCGTCAGGATATTGGAGCAAATCCGGAGTCTCCAAATGTTCCGACTCAGGACCGAGCTTCCGGGATGGGAGTGGCCAAGGTTTGGTGTGCCACAACCAGGCCAGGGCTGAGACAGTTAGGAAGGAAGGTGACTTGGGGAGTGGGGAGTCATGGTGTAGGAGATGGTGAAGTTTTTAGGAAGGTGTGGTGTGGTGGGAGAGTGCAGGGTCAGGATTCCGGGATATGACAATGTCGCTCTTCCCATTATTGGATATCTCATTGATGCGTGATCCTTTTATTATGAAAATTTGGGTGGATTAAGATTAGATCCCTTCCTTTCTAATGGGCTATCAAGCTCGTCTCGGTCGTTACTGCTTGTTCTTTGCACTTGCCTTTTTAAACGTTGTCCTTGTTTTCCAAAAGTTTTGTTCATATCTCCGTTGTTTATGAGTAGTTTTCCCTGTAATTACTTTCATTGGGTCTGTTTGGGAGACATCTACATTTCCTATTATAAACACAACTTTGAATTTTGCATTAGTTCCTAAGGAATCCTTGTTCTGTGGTACTTCCATCCTCAGCTACGTGTGTGGGCATGGGAAAGTAGTTTCCGTGGAGGTTCTCTGGTTGTTTTTATAGTCAAATCTTGGTCGATTGTCCTAATTCTTTGTTTAATATTTGCTATAAATTCCCCCGAGAATTCCTTCTTGTTGATGCTAAGCTTGAAGTATTTTTGCTAATTTTCTTTCTTCCAATTTATCGTGTGTAGTCGTAATAATTCATTAAAATTCGTTAAAATTCAGGTCCTTCTATTTTCTCATATCTACTTGTTGTATGGGGTTTTGTGATTTATCTGGCATATTTCCATAATGGGTTTCCATAGTGTGACCATGTCAGGGCATGCCTTTGGGTCGCTAGTGTAAGTAGTGCATCGCCACATGACCCATATCTCCATCAGCTTCTACTTCTTTTCTTCTTCTTCATCTCTGATCTGATCTGATCTGTGGCTGTCAGTTATGATGCCGCATGATCTTCTATCATTCTTGATCTGATACTACTGGTTATTAGCTAGTTGACTAGTTGCCACCTCTATCGTGTATATATGACCGTGTGCTGGGATGGGCATGTCCCCCAGCTTTGATATCAATTAGGTTTCTGGGCCATCCTTCGCTGCAAGCATGCACAACCCTGACAGACCGTTATTTCTCCTACAGCGCTAAATACAACCTAAGAATAGATCACCCAACCATTGACCTTAAGAAAAAACTTAACCTACCAGCCTGGGCCCACCCCAGCCTGAACAACAACACAACCATAAGTGACCAATCAACAACCACATCCTGCCTAAGAATGAACCACCACTGTCTCAGAGTCAGCGGCCTCTTAACACAAACAGATACCCAAGAGAACCATACCCATGACCCTACAATGAGAAAATGCCCCTGCACTCCATGCCGAACCTACAGACAGAACAGCTGTAAAAACCCGGAAAGATGTTACCAAATGGCAACAAAAATAACCACAAACCTCAACCCACATTATGGCCCCACAGCGACACCCACATAAACCTCCTGAACCACCTTCCCTTACTCTCAATAAGGACACATGCTGTTACGGGGATGGGGGAAATTCCCCATTCCTCGATCCATTCTTATAGTGGGATGAGTGAGGTCATATCTGGTCTGTACCATAACAGGATATGTAATCGATGAGTGATCCCAGTCTTGCCTGGGGGTGGACGATTGAATTCCCATCAATCGTGATTGGTGATGTAGTGAGCTATTAAGGGATTGATGGTAGGTAGTCGGAGATGCCAGGACGGACGGGTCAGCCACGGGTACTTGGCGCTCCTCAATGGAGCGTACCATGTGCGAGGTCGCGACTTGTGAGATGGGTGAGAACTTCATATAGTGTCAGGGTTCAGCACCCTGCCTTAGGGTGCCCCAGACTCCCCACCTACTTTACCCCCTTTTATTCTTTGACTGTTGCCTTGTTGTTGCCTTTGTGTGTTGTGTACACGCGCGCACGGGATAGCGCGGGAACTTTCTGAGCAAGCAGCTCGCCCAGAATGTTCCCACGGGTCACAGCCACAGTTCTGGGCGAGCAACTCGCCCAGAACGTTCCCACGCTTACTGGGCACTGCCACCTGGATGTTCCCTCCGGGTCACACTACACAACTCTAGGAGCTGTATAGTTGTGGGCATGTGACCCATTCCTTTATATAGCAACCATGCGGGGAGATGAGACCTTTACCCTTCTTCTCATCTCATGCCCCACATAGTGTGAGGACAGGTTAGATGGGGGCTGAGGTCAGGGAGCCTCCGAGTCCGAGGCCGGGCCCTGACATATAGTTGCCATCGGGTACTTGGCGTTCGCAGTGCGAACGTACCGGTAGCGGGTTGATGTCATAAGCGCGCGATGAGGACTGACTAGTAGGGCCTTCAGTGACTTGGCGTTCCCAAAGGGAACGTACTGTTGGCGGGGAAACATGATGACTGGCATAGGAGGGAACAGACGGTGGATGGGCGGCGACTTGGCGTTCGCGTAGCGAACGTGCCGGCATCACGGGAAGGTGGGCCTCAAAGTATTCACGATCTCCATGATCATGAGGTGACATCGTATGTTGAGTACTGGGGGGAGAGCGGAGTGATGAAGACCCATAGGGTACAGATTCAATAGGACGATACACATGTTGAGAGTCTTCGACTCTCGACCTCGAGTTCTCGCAGCGAGGGCCGTTAGAGGACTCGATATAACCAGACTTATAAGACATATTGAGAGTTGTACAGTCACACGGGTTCAGTTGAGTCACAGGGAGGGTTGTTACAGAAGACGGTACACGAGACAGTTGTAGAGCAGTTGTTAGTTAGCGGGAACTGCCTTCGGCGGTTTCCGTTGAAGGAGGAGAACAGAAATCCCATAAAAGGCTGTTCTTTCTTCTGATACTTATATGTTAGTATTGGTACTTTAACTCAACCACTGTAGCGTTTTGGTTGCTTTGTGTATTGATATTTGTATGTGTTACTAATTGTTTGTGTGTGTATGAAACTCTCAGGGTTCAATTCACTTGTCTACCTGATTGTTCCACACGAAAATCGCGCTATAGACCTACTATTTTCAGTCGTTTCACCTCTGTCTTGTCACTTTTAACTCGGAGTGACTCCAACCGACTTGACTCAACGTCACTATTTCTTAACTTCTTCTTAACTTTTTACTGAGGGTTGATCACTTTTACTCAGATGTGATCTGAACTGCACACTTATACTAATAAAACTTAATTTTTATTAGGATGCCTTATGACCTATGAGCCAGAGCACGTAGGGGAGAGGAGTAAAGAAGGAAGAGGGGTCAGACCAGAAAATGCGGTCTTTTATACCTTTCCTAAGGGCTCTGTTTTCACATGTCACTTTACTATTTACATTGCTGAGTAATCTTATATTGAGCTTAGCAATCCTCTTATGTAAGCGATCAGCATCCCATTCTGCTTCTAGAACTTTCTGGAAGTTTTGGTGTGGGAATTAGCCAATTGCATTGCCTAACACCCATCATGACCTTGTTTACCCTTGTTTACTCACTTTATTCTAGGTCACATGTCATGGGGTTATTTGTTAGCTTAAGAGTGTAGCTTTCCGTCGGTATAAACAACAGTAAACTACGAGGATTATTTATGAAGATATGAATTTTTCAAGATTTAATTTTGAGGTTCTCCAGATTGCTTTGGCATTAGCTCATCCATTTTCCTACGATTAATTCTGGATAAATTATGCCTCGTTCCTGGACTCGAACTCTTTAGTTTCGCATTTCTAGCTCGTCCGTTTTAACCACAAACTCAGGATGTTTGAGCCAGTCTTCTCTGAAAGTGTGTTTTAATCTTGTTAAATCCATTTCTCCCTCAATTCTTCAGATTTTAACATGAAATCTTTTCGTACGCAGACCTATACTTCAACTCTTTAAGACCGACAAAGATTCATATTTTCTCCTATTTTCCTCGTATAGATATTTCCAATTCTTTCATCTTTTCCTCGTACCTGACCATTTTTCATTATGTGAATTCCTTGATTTTCTTCCGATTTCTCTTTGTCATTCGTTTCGTACGTTCGTAAAACTATTTTCCCACGTTACCACGAATTTCTAATATTTTATTTGATACAGGAAACCTTGTTTTTGTTTTCATGTGAGTTTATTTGCTGTTTTTCTTCATTTTCTGAACCATCTTTTAATCCCTAGACTTGAAAGTTCGCGTAGATACTCAATCCATCGACTCTGTTCTTCATTATTTTTCCGATATTTTATTTCAATTCATTTTGTTGAGTTATGATTTTATTCCTATTTTTATTTCTGGTCCGTGGAGGTTGTATGATTTTTATCCAATTTTTTGTGATGGTTTCTGGTTGTTTTAGTGTTGTAACTTTTATATTCCTACACCGTACAAGATGCGTGACTATCTACAAATGGTAAGGTCACGGGAAATCCCGCGAAACACAAACAACCTCAGCCAGCACCAAAACCCCAATGGGGAAAGCTTTGCACGAGGGGGGGGAAAGGGGTAGAACGGGTAAGGAGGATAGGGTATCGGGATAGAGGACGGAAGGGAGAAAGAGGGGAGGAGCGATAGAGAGGGGAAGTCTTTGACCATGTGACGGATATGGTCGTTGGAGACTCCGTATCCGTAACACATGCCATTGGCGACCCAGAAAAAACCAGAACTTTTGACCCATTGCTGCACTGATGCAGTCAAATCCACCACCACTACAGGATCTTTGGAAGGATTCCCCCAGCCCCTGGTCCCCCCCTACCCCACAAAACCATCTGGCAAGTGACACAGACATAGTTGCCTACACGGATGGGTCAAGCCAATGAAATGGCTGTATCAACGCCACTGCAGGGTTCAGAATATGGTACAACTGTGGAAACCCCCTAAACACCAGCAAAAGAGTCCACCCCCTCCTCCCACAAACAAATAACATTGCCAAAATGCTGGCAATCCACCATGCAGCCACCTCTTCTCCAACCAACTCGGTCCTTCATATCAAATCCGATTCCAGGTGGTGCATCAACACACTCTGCCTGAACCTGACCTCTCTCGAAGACCTAGACTACATACACGCAATCCATCAATATGCCACCAAACTAACAGTGAGCGCCCTGAGATACAGAACTCACCTGACCTCCTTTGAATGGCTCAAAGGCCACACAGACATCCAAGGAAATGAGGAAGCCGACTCCCTTGCCATACAAGGCACCCAAGCTGACCCTGACCCAAGCCCACCTGTATCCCCCCCAAAACATACCCAACAGCGCATGCCTGATCTCCCTATCACAATCCTTGGCAACCAAGCTAATACGTAAAGTGAGATTAGCAAAAAAAATCGAACATAGAAATAGAGCCATGGACAATACCACTCTAATAGTAACCACCCTTGAAAATATGGGGACCAACCCCCCCACACATGACAGATTCTGGAGAGACCTAAACAAAAACTGCAGAGACATATCACCAGAAATCAGAAATTTCCTGTGGAAACTTACCCATAATGGCCTCAAAATCGGTGACTACTGGAAAAGAATCTCTAACTACGAAAACTGCAGTGAGTGTGAACACTGCCATCAAACTGAATCCATAAACCACATACTATTTGTGTGCCCCCTAAACCACGGCAAGGAACTATGGGCTATAGCTAAAGTGATCTGCAATCACAGGAAGATCGCCTGGCCACCCAACCTTGACACCTCCTATGTGATGGCAGCCCCGATCACGAAAGTAAAAACAATAAACGGCCACCCCAACAATGGCGCAACTAGACTATTCAGGATAGTAGTGCTGGAATGTGCATGGCAACTATGGAAATCAAGATGCCACAGGGTAATGAACCCCAACCAACCACCTACCTCCCTAAGACAGGTAACCAACACCTTGAAAGCCAGCCTCAACGAGAAACTACAACAAGATATCACCCTAATAAACAAAAAGAAATATGGCCATAAAGCACTACCAACAAAACTCGTGCTACACACCTGGAGTGGCAACCTGCAAAATGAAGAACAGCATCCGGATAACTGGCTTTACAGCAGTGGGGTTTTAGTGGGTATACCGGACCCCTGGTCACATGACCGGGGCTGGTGAGTCCCACACTGAGTGCGTAACGCATTTCCCCATGGTGGCAAAACTGGACCAGACCCAACTACTACTCAACAATCCATTGGGACTACTGACTCCCATTACAAACCCCTGATACAGTGATGTACTGCAAAAGCTACAGGGGTTCCACCAAATAAAAAAAAAAAAAGAAACATGACTTCAAATTAAAATCCTACTATAAAATGTGCCCAAGAAACAGCATTCTTTGAAGTTTCAGAAAAATGGTGAGTGGCCAATCTCCCAAAAAAAAAAAAAGTTGAAATTTACCGCTGTGCAATTATGATTGTAGAGATCATAATAAATTAAATTCTTGTGGCTAAGAGTCATAGATACTCATTTTAATACATTCATGTGACTTGTACTTATGCATGGCATATTCTGCCCATGCCTCAGTTAAACTGTTCCTTGTTTGAACTTCATAAGTGAGTAACCTTATAGAGAACTTCCTGGCACTCATAGGCATCCATATATCACCAAGTCTTCTGGAAGTAATGGTGTATTGTGATGAGGTCACATCCATCTAAACATGCAGGGACAAGTTGTGTTGCCATCTGGAACTTACCATCTGCTGCAGCCCTATACCCTGCAAATGAGAGTAATGCATATGTCAGATTGAAACCTGGTGATATAGTGAGATAAGACAAGTACGGTATTTTGCATAGCCTTACACCATCTCTATCGGATTAAGTTCACAGTGAAATTTCAGAAGGAAGAAGCAGAGGTGGTGTCAGGGCACACCCTGCCTGACCCTGCTCCATGCTGCACCACTGCACCACCACTTCCTGCACCCTCTCTTCCCTTTCCTCTTTCTTTCTTTCTTTCTTCCCTTCTTCTTCTACATGGACCACCTTCCTCACTATCAATGTACATGTATCACTGGCATGCATGCTGCATGCCCTTCCTGTGCCTGCAACCCCTACACTGCCATCATGTCAGGGATGCATCCGGGGTCGAGGTGGCCCAGGCATAGCGTCCGGTGCTAATGACCTCATGGGGGGTAGATCGGGCATGTGTACTGGCAGGCCCAATGCAGGACAGCGGTCCCTGGCCACTTAGACTGAAGTGGGAATGTTGAGAAGAAGGTTACTTCTTTGGTTCCCACCCCAGGTGTGTTTATATACATGCGGCTTGGGTCACATGAGGTCTGCCATGTCACCCCGCATACAGCCGCAGTCACCCGGGTGTCCCTGTGGGGGATCCCGAGGGCATATGCTGCATGTGTGCGCACTAGGTTGCGCCCTAGAGCCATCTGGGGTTGTCCGGGGCTAGGCATGTCGTGTGCACATCATGGGCAGGTCAATAATACATAGATATAAGGGAAAGTGTCAGAGACCAGGTTTGAGATGAAGGAAAGTCTTAGCGGAGGGCTTCAGCCTCAGCGACTTATGCCAAGAGCGCTGTGCCTAGTAACACGTCCGTGCCCTAACTTACTAACTGGCGACCAGAACTGAAGGGGGGTAACTCTAGTTGATTTTATTACTGAAGTGTAACCTATGTACAAGTTGGATATATATATGGTTACAGTGAAGACGGGTCCGCAATGGCGGAGCCAAATGGAGTGGAGCTAACGGGGTTAAACATTAGCCAACTGAATATTACTGACAAGTCAGGTTGTGGGGTTAACAGAAAGGCAG